GTGATTAGATCAGTTTAAGATGAACTGCTAATGTTAAGTCAATGATATTTGGTATGCAAATTTATTGGCATTTGCAAATATCGTTTCCATGGATATTATATAGCCCCACCCCCTCTTCATGGTTCATTGATTTTGAAACCTTTACATAGTTTATAAGTTAATGTTTGTGTGTAGGTTTGTTTAAAGGGAACAAATTATAATAAGTCAATGGTATTTGGTATGCAGTTGTATTAGCTTTGGCACATCTCATTTGCATGGAGATTGTTTAGCCATGTACCTCAGTCATGGTTCATTGACTTTGAATATTTGCATAACTTATGAAACATGTTAAAGTATTGCTATTTTAATTTCAACATTTGCATAATCAAAATTACAAAAGGGCGAGACATATCTCTGTGATAACAGTTTATCTACAAATTCTGATATGAAGTAACATATGTTGAATTGCAATATTCATAAATAAATGATTGATCTATAAATAAATACGGATTTTTCTTATTCTTCGCTTATCTGCCTCATTAAATTATTGTCATTTGGATATTTTTTTATGGATAATTAATGTAATTAAACATTTTTCTATACTTGGATGTTTACACCTTTTATTTATTACATTATCAATATAATACATGTTTTTGTAATGTACTTGAATTATAACTTTAAGCTCACTGATAACAATGCTCAGTATAAAAGATAACTTGTATAACCAGTGGAACATATTTCACAGACAAGGAACTTATTTCACCAGGTAAGGAATTAATTTCACAAACCCAGAACTTATTTCACCAGGTAAATCATGGAACTTATTTTATAGAGATGGAACAAATCATATACATGATATAGAAATTATCTGTTAAAAAAGTTCTCCCAAAATATATTTCCTGTGATATTTGTTCCACTGGAACTTTTTTCACAGGAACAAATTTTGGCTCACATATTCATAACTATTCTATATATTATAGTTAGACTTGGGAGGATTAAAACTTTAAAATGTTGTTATGACATATGTCCATTGAAGAAGACAATAGATTGAACTTTAGAAGTAAATTGTCACGTTTTGTTTGTTGCTTAATTGGGTTGCTGTCTAAATTAATTATGTATACTTCACATCTCCTTTAAAATCATTCATAGAAATTAAACATTGATTAAAATATGTTAGCATACATGTATAATTGCTTTTATCGTCTGAGAGTAGTTTTTTGTTCTTCTTATATTCCCTTTTAGATATATTATTAGTCTTCTGTTCTTCAACGTCTACTATCTTGCTAGGAAGAACTAGCTAGGTAGATCTAGATAACATCCAATTCAGCCCAACGATCTTGGGGTTTGGGTATTATGATGTAATGAGTGGAAGCGATGAGTCGCTGGGATAGGTCACTATTTGAAGCTTCATGAAAATCAAATTAAATTCACCAAAATCACTTTCGTAAATGTTTAAGATATTTGTCAAGTCTATTTACTAGTATCTCCCCATGAAATAGCGTAACAATGATAGCTATGTGCAGGTATATATACTTATTGTGAAAAAATATATGATAGCTAGGGTAACTACATGTATGTTCTTTAATCATTCAATATATATATATAGATATATACAAGTCTAAATTGAAAACAACGTTCAAACCTATGATTGCGTTGGATAAAAACCGCAATTTTTATACGTGTGCATGCAAAACAAATTTCTTTGTAGAGGGGTCTAAATACAGCACAAACAACATTTTCCAAAAGATATATATATATATATAAAGTGTGGGGTATATGATGTCTCAGCTGCTCGCTGAAGTTTTTTATAAAACTTGTCAACAAAACCGAACAAATAGCAAATCTACAAAATAAAGACAGTGCAACAGCCATACAGGAGATGCTTATGGGTTAAACGTTCAACACCTCACCCAGCTACAAGAATATCACCATATGAAGCTTTAATGAACAGACTTATTAGGACAAAATTAGGGTATATACCAAGAACAATAACCAAGAACGAAAACCTATTTGAGGATATTAATGAAAGAGACAAACAATATAAGGAGAAAATTAAAAAATATGCTGAGAACAGAAACACACAGGTACATGCATTTCAAATAAGAGTTTACGTTTTAATAGAACAAACCAAAAGAGACAAATGGTCCACAGCGTATGAACCAGCATTTTATATTGTCTACAGAAACATTGGATCAGCTATACAAGCAAGGAGGGTAACAGACGAAAGAGAAATGTGTCGTGATGCCAGCAAGTTCAAATTAGCAAATGATCTGGTACAGAAGTCAATATATATAAAGACAGAGTCTGAGACACAAAAAGATGAAGAAAATGTGCCCCCCGCAAGACACTTGAAGCGCGGGAGGGGGGCAGAGGACAAAAGTAATGCCCCCCCCCCCCCCGGTCCCGCAAGACAGGCGCGGGAGGGGGCGGATTGGAGAGAAAGACTTCTATGGAAAACCAGACAAAAACATCACAATGAACAGAGAAATAATAGAAATCAGGAAAACCAACTAGAAGTACCAGCGGATAGACCAAAAAGAGACAGACGTGCACCACAACACTTTAGAGATTATGTTATGAGATTGCGGGCACATAAGAAAGAAAACGAACTATATTTTATTACAACATAAGAAAAAAAAGTGTGAACTCTATTTTATTACAAAAATATAAGTGAACATTACAGAGAACAATACAAAGACTGTGATAATTTAATTCATGTATACAAACTTTATTTACATATTTTAATTTACATTTATATTCTTCAGTTTATTCAAAGTTAAGGAGGAATGTAATAGCTTAGATTATTCCGGGAAAACACCATACAAACCTTCGGGACATTCATTATTACGTTACGTCGCTACGGCGATATGACTTGTATATGTGTTAGCCATTATTATATATGTAAATAAACAATTACAGTTTAATATACTGGTCATATTACAGATTCAGAGGTTAATATCATCATTCAAGGATTTGTATATATACTATACAAAGCCTTGATATCATGGTGTCTGTCTGCATGTACAACCTGTGATTCTGTTATTTAGATACTATTGTACTGGTATAGAAGTTAAAGTAAAAAAGACAGGTAATATTTTTTAACAAAACTGACAGGCTAATGACTGATATGTTTCATATAATACTTTAATTTAAAATGTACATATAATTGTTCGGCTGCTCGATCTCGGCGTTAATTGACAAATACAGAATTGTTGTTGTTATTAGAATAGATACATAAGAATGTGCCAAACAAATTGCTGTTGTTATTGCCGATTGGTGCTTCAATGATGAAACGGGTATAAAATGTATTGAAATATCGTATGGCAATACAAGTTTATCGGGTAACATTTGTGTACTTTTACAAAAAAAAATCTTCACTGAGAATTCAATCGCGGCACTTGAGCCCTAAAGAAATTTTCCAGTTCTCTTAAATAAAGCGTGTATTGTGAATATTAATATTTCGCGTAATCAAGTATAACAGTTACCTTTTCTATGATTATTTATTAGGAATGCGATTATTATATGAGATATTCTGATTGAAAGATGTACGTTTAACAAATTTCTCGAAAGTACGCAACATTTTACATGAAAATGACGAACTAGATAATTAGTAAACACGTTAAATAAGTTGGCATTATATAGTACTAACAAGCTTATGATCCTGTATCATTTTTTGACATCCGTTTTAAGTATACAAATAATGCATTTTATTCAGTTTGCTTCGTCCTTTTGGCGCCGTCTTTTGACGTTGTCAGTGCCCTTCAGTATTGTGACGTTACCATTGACCTTTGACGTTCTACACAATCAACAAGATTTGTGCCGTGTAGAAGCCATAAATGTCCCTTTGGCAGCAAGAGGGTTAAGAATGTATCAAACACTCTAACAATTTCGGTCTTATAATCGAAAACACTGGAAACTTTTGATGAAGCCAAAAAACCCAATTGTTTCAAAAAGGAATGAGAGCAAGTTTCAAATTTGATTGATAATCATGAAACCTGCAGAACCATCTATTACAACCTTTTTTCAAACTTTTTATCATTGCAAAAATTAAAACCATAGTTCTAGCTGTCATGATTGTGTGGTTGTGAGAATTTGGGAATTAAAACAATTTCATCCAAAGAAAAAAAAATGTTTCCTCTATTTGACATTTTCAAAGCTTGGGAAATGGAAAAGCTGAAATTAAAATCTCTGGTTTATAAAAGCAAACAGAACTTTGATTGACAATTAATGAACAGTGTGACGATTTTTATTAAGTTCTAAATATGTTTCTTTGATCCTGCCACGTGAATTACATGTAGTTTATGTTCTCAACTAGTTTAAACACAGACTGAGGTGTCAACGATACACAAATGATATTAATTCATTGTCAACTTTAGTCTGACATTCCATTAGACATGCATATGATAAGATATCATGTGTTAGTATAAAACCCAAACAAACGGATTGCTACGAAATCATGAGTAAAACAAATAAACAATAAACAATACAAATATGTAACATTTACAACAATAATGAGACATATTGAAAAAAAAAGTAAAGATAAAAAGGGGAGGAAAAAATAAGAAAAAGCGCTTTTTTAATAGAAATTAACAGAAATATTGGTGCCAAATTATGTCTATAACTAAAATACTTTGCTTCCAACGAAATGTACATTTACTTTTAAAAACAAATTTTATGCATGGTTTTTGTATTCTAGTGAACAAATGTAAAACAAATCCCTTGATTTTGAGACTTTTTATACGAAATTTACATCAGTTTATATGTACCAACTATTTTAACTGTTTAATCCAAAAATGTAAAAAGTTCAATATTCATAAAGTTGGAAAAATGACCCCCATATACAATGATATATTGATATTTTAAACAAAAAATCTGACATATATATATAAATATTCCTCTGATAGGCCGAGTGTATACCGATCTGTAATAGTCCGAGTTTGTTATGGGCCGAGTTTGTAACCGAGCATTCAAACATTTTGATGACACTTACAGTACATCTTTCCATTTCCTGTGGAGTCAAATACGGATCAGATTGTCATGAACATTGTTCGTCTGTTAAAAAATAACTCGAAGAAACAAATCTACGTGAGGAAAAGATAGAATTTGATTTCAATTTAGGGTTTACTCTTTATGCAGGGAATGTTACATTAGCACTCAAAGGAGAATCATTTATGTGTAAGAAAATGTATTAAACTACCACATGCCTGACATGGTTCAGCACGATGACGTCTGATGGTATTTTTCTCAGGGTTGGAAATTAAATGCCGCCTCGGTATTTTATTTACCAGTGGTATTAACTGGTATTTACTACCCTGTTCAATTCTCATTTAGTGGTCTGTATTAAATGGACGAACTTTTAAATATAAATTAATGACATATCCTCAGCTTTGACTGGATTTTACTATTAGTGATAATTTATGTAACATTTTTAAAGTTAGGATAAATTATCTTTTACTTTTAGTGAAGCATTATTCATCATATGTATATGTGATACTTTTAACATTAGGATAAATTCACTTTTATTTTTGTGGTGGAATACCTTTTACATGAGGTACTCCTATTAGGAGGAAGTTTCGCTTAACAGTTATACAATGTACAGGACAAAACTGTCAAATACTGGATGATTAAAATTTTCCTATATTAATTCTGGTAGATAGGGGAAATTATTTAAACTTTATTCCTTTATGCACAATTCAGTTTATGAAAGAAAATAATGATATTGGTATAAATATTTAAAACATGGCAGTTCTGCCAACTTTTAATAATATAAATGCGTGAGATTTGGCCAAAATCGTAAAGATCAAAGGGAAAAAACAATAGATCAAAGGAAAATGTCGCCAAATAAGCATGAAAATGCGTGAGTCACACGCTAAATGCGTGAGACTTGGCAGCCCTGACATGGATAATTACTAATTCAGTTCTAGGACTAAGCATGACTTAAGGGGTAGTGATATTGCATACGTACATGTGTAACAGCCACTATGTTCCGTCAGTTACTTTGTTCCGGCGGAACTTTTCAACTAGTTATTTCGTTCCGATGGAACTTTCCAACTAGTTGTTTTATTCCGAGTGCAGTCGAAAAGTTCTGGAAAAAAGTAGCTAGTTGAAAAGTCCCGGAACAATGTAGCTAGTTGAATAGTTAACCCTAACCCTAACCCTAACAAAGAGGACATTTGTGACTAGTTGATAAGTTCCGTTTGACTTTTGTGGCTAGTATCTTTGTTCCCCTTTGAAAAGGTTCAAAGATAATATGTTGCGCTTTTACTTTGCATCAATTCTCCAAATGGAACTTTGTGACTGGTTGATCATGTTGATAAGTTCCGTTGGAACTTTTGGGCTAGTTTGTTAGTTACAATTTTGACTTATTTGCCAAAGAGGAACTATGTGGCTAGTTGATAAGTTCCGTTGGAACTTTTGGGCTAGTTTGTTAGTTACAATTTTGACTTATTTGCCAAAGAGGAACTATGTGGCTAGTTGATAAGTTCCTTTTGACTTTTGTTATCAGTATCTTGGTTTCCCTTTGAAAGATTCAAATATAATATGTTGCGCTTTTACTTTGCATCAATTCTCCAAATGGAACTTTCTGCCTGGTTGATAAGTTCCGTTGGAACTTTTGTGCTAGTTTGTTATTTCCAGTTTTGACTAATTTGGCAAAAAGGAACTTTCTAACTAGTTGATATGTTCTGTTGGAACTTTTCAACTAGTCACTTTGTTCTGGTGGAACTTTTAAACCAGAGGAAGAACAAAGTAACTAGTTAATAAGTTCCTCCGGAACTTTTTGGCTAGTTAGTTCTTTCCGCCCGGAACTTTCCAACGTCAGAACAAAAGAGCATTTACATATGTACTATTATAGATATATTTATTATATGAAATTGCTATATCATTAATTTCAACATATATAAATCAATATATATATTTTCTGGAAAATATTTAAATTTTTACTACCAAATATATAAATTAACTGTCATTATCATGATTATTATTATCAGATCACTTAAGATTACCAGGGCATCAGTTTTGGCTAACAGGCATGACAGGAGTGCTTTTGGTTGTCATTTGGTCTCAGGTGGAGAGATCATGCCATATCTTCTTATTTTATATCAAAGCTTAACTGCTATAACAACAGCCCATTCAAATGTCTACATAACTTCTTTTAATTTACAGGTACATGTATGAATTGTCATTTTAGTGCTACTGTAATATACACCAGCACCCACTTTATTCACATATCCTCAAAAACATGCCGTTAATCTACCAATTTATATGTATATATATATATATATATTAAGAACAGTAAAAATGTGCAGTACATACATGTATACTGTGCTGTCATAAATATGTTTATACATCTGTGCATTATATTTGGTTAAAAAAATAGAATATTATTTGGGTATGTAAAGATCATGCTCCATGTCTAAAATACTAGTTGCTCTTACATGCAAGGTGTGCTGATATATTCATTAGCTAGAAAATAAAGCTGTCATCAGCTTTAGTTATATGGATAAAGCTGGATAAAAGTGTTCATACTAAGGCAGTTTTTGTAAAATATGCCCAATATTAAAAGGACACAAAAAAGCACTATATAGTAAAATATTCAAGTAGGTAATAGGTATAAAGCCACTTGAGGTAGATCGTCTGTATATATATATATATCATGTATTTACTTAGTTAAAAGGTAGATTTTACCATGCTTTTTTCAAAAATATAATATTGAAATATAGGTCACCATGGTACTTTTCAAGCTACATGTACAATGTACAAGTAAAAAAAGAAAATTTTATTAACATTCCTTTATCATCATGATCATGTTTATAATTATAGTTTGTGTCTAATATAGACTTGAATAATTCATATTTTATTTTTTAAGACCATTTTTGTATTTTTCTTAAACTATTACATTTAAAACAACTTTTTTTAACAAAAATTATTGTTAAGAAATCAAGCTGTCATAATGTCTTGTTAGAATGTAAGACAGCTAGTCACTGCAGGACACTTAAAGTAACTTACAGACAAAAAATCATGATTCAGGTTGATAGTTTTGTCCTTGATGACTTATAATTTAATTACTGGCTTCATGGTACCAAGAAATATATGCTTTGTATGATTAATTATAATGATATACATGTATGATAAATCTTCATTTAATCATGCTATTGAACATGTTGAAAAATTTCATGAACTGTACATTATTATCTAAAAAAAAAAGACAATGAAAACTATAATAGAACAGTAATAGAAGAGAAAATGATGAGGACAAGCATTCCTTTATGAAAGTTACTTTATTTGAGTGATCTCCCATCATATGTATAAAATTTAAAAAAATTAAATCAAACAAAAAATATTCTGTTTTTGAATACAGTCGTAAAGTTTGAAAACACATAATTTTCTGTATTAATATCAAAAGTCTTGCAAATGAATTACATTCTTAGTGACTCTGGAAATTAGCACATTTCATTAAAAATCTAGACCGATTGTGTTCTGCTATTTTACAATCCAAGATGGAGGAAGACACACAAGCTACCTTAATATAGCTTTTAAATTCTTAAATGAGGAACCAATATAAAGAAGAAAGATCAATCTTTCGAATGGTTATTTATAGAATAACTAATCGAAGAATTCAAATAGAGAAAAATATTCAACAAGTAACCGATCAAAACATTAAATTGATTAATTCACGAATTGGCGTAGAGCATGAGTTAATTATCAGTGTTGTTCGGTCACAAGTTGAATATTTTTCGATATTTGAATTATTTGATTAGTAATTTTTTTTATTACATTGGCAATGGTATTTTTAGTGGAATTAAAAGTGGAAAATGTAAGGAACTATATCTTTTTCTACGCATTCACAGTTGCTTTGATGCCACGTCTCGACAACGTCTTGACAACACCTACTGTTGTATGACATCAGAGGAGTGAAATAACCTGAGTTTATTTCACAAGTGAAATTATTGGTTTTTACTTCACTGGGAAATCACGGTAATTCATTGCAAGCAATGTAATAAAGTTTCATTATTACATTGGTTGCAATGAATTACCGTGATTTCCCAGTGAAATATAAAAACCAATAATTTCACTTGTGAAATAAACTCGGTTATTTCACTCCTCTGACGTCATACAATAATTATGATAATAGGTGTTGTCGATGACAGAGCATCAAAACAAATTGTCAATGCGTAGAAAAAGATTTAAAACAAGTTGTCAATGTGTAGAAAAAGATATAGTTCCTTACATTTTCTACTTTAATTCCATTAAAAAGCCCATTGTCAATGTAATAAAAAGAATAACAAATCAAAGAATTTAAATATCGAAAAATATTCAACTTGTGACCGAACAACACTGATAATTAACTCATGAGCTACACGCATTCATGAATTAATGTGTTGTTCGGTCACTCGTAGAATATATTTCTATATCTGAGTTATTTGATTAGCTATTCTATAATTATTACGTAATCATTACATTGTACATAATTGGTAATTAGTTGCTTAATTGTGATGTACACATTTGAATGAAATTAGCTTCTTTGTTATTCATAGCTGTTATTAGCATCACAAAAGTTTTGATAGATTCTACAATCTTGTGCAACACAGTTTGACCTCCAAAACCATGTTTCAGATTTTTATGCCTCCGCTGTAGCGGAGGGGGCATTAAGTTTTACCCTTGTCCGTCTGTATGTCTCAAAGTTGGTTTCGGTTCTCTAACTTTAGTTTGCCTCATAGTCAACCAAATGTTATGAAACTTATACAGAATGCTTATTACCACAAAACACAGATAAAGTTTGAATTTTGGTGGCGTCACTATAACCGTTCTAGTGTTATGCCCCTTTACAAATGGAAAAATTGCTGAATTTTTCGTTACCGTTCTCTAACTCTAGTTTGCCTCAACCTAATGTAATGAAACTTATACACAAAGCTTATTACCACAAAACACAGATCAAGTTCGAATTTTGGTGGCGTCACTATAACTGTTCTTGAGTTATGCCCCTTTATAAACATAAAAATTGCTGAATTTTTCGTTTCCGTTCTCTAACTTTAGTTAGTCTCAACCAAATGTTTTGAAGCTTATACACAATGCTTATTACCACAAAATACAGATCAAGTTTGAATTTTTGTGTTGTCACTTTAACCGTTTTTTGCCTGTTTACAAATTGAAAACTTGCTGAATTTTTCGTTTCTGTTCTCTAACTTAAGTTAGCCTCAACCAAATGATATGAGACTTATACACAATACTTATTACCACAAAACTCAGATCCAGTACAAATTTGGGTAGCGACACTTCTACTGTTCTTCAGTTATGTCCCTTTATAACTTTATATGATATGCAAGCGGGGGCATCATCTGTGTCCCATGGACACATTCCCCATTTATTTCTTCTGTATTTCATTCTCTCATATTAAAACCTTCAATTAAGACCCCCGCTTACACTTACACAAAATTAAACAGATCTTTATTTTAATCCATCTTAAAAAGACCAGTTCGCATTTACATTTATCTTATTTAAATCTAGTGTGTTTTCACTGCAATATAAAATGAACCAGTCCAACCTAATTTCCCTACATTTCGTAAACAAACAATCATAAAAACTAACGTGTGCATTTCGTGCGGAAAATCACATACTGCAAAAGCATGGAGAAAATAGTTGGGTCATTGGAATTGTATATATGCATTTTTTACTTATCTTTTTTGATTCACTTTAAGTCTTATGAGGAAAATGTCAATGCATTTGAAGATGAGGAATTTAGGATTTATCGATTTAGAAGAATGATGCAAAACCGGTGGAATACAGGTCTTTGTTTACTTGTCTTATCCTCATGTTCTGTCAATTGGGAAATATGGTTGAAACCTCGAGAGACAAACATTTATGAGGATATCCCAAACTGGACATGCCCAGATATGGTTTTTGTAAAAAATTTAAGTGGATGTATTCGTGTTCAGTCTCAACCTTTAGATATGTGATGTATTGTCATCAAATACAACATAAATTTAAAAATTAAGACTGAACACAAGTGTGGCAACTTCCATTTAAGACAAAAACCGTCTAAAAACTAGCTCAAATGCTAAAATTGGGAAGATTTCAGTAATTTTGCATAATTAATGATGCTAGTACTTGATGCATGTGCATTGTATTGTCAAAACAGCTCATATTTATGTAACAACGTTATTCTTTTTTCCAATAAAAAGCTAAAAGCTGACATTTTTAACAAATTTGTAAAAATGCTATATTTTGGGCCAAAAAGGGGTCTTACCGTACCTACTCCTTTAATTGGCATAAAATGTTCTATTAATTCTATAGACATCTGCTTAAATTAGACATATAGGGTCATCTATTTTGGAGCTAATTTCATTAAACCGACATTTTCATGACAAAAATTTATTTGCCACAATTGAATAAATAAGGATTTTCCTACTTTAACTTCATTAACTTCAATATATATTCACACATGTACAATGTATCATGAGGATACTTCAGGATTGGCCTTTTATCATAAATCAATAATATGTCCAGTAAGGGAGCATTTCATCTCAGCAATTCTAAATAAATAAAGAAAATGCACACCCTGTGCATTGAAAATCAGATCTGGCAACTTTTATCTATAAATTTATTTTTATTTAAATTCATTATATTCTATTTTCCTATAAACCCCTAATCCACCTCTTTTTCCATAACTGTTAATACTTTTATAGCTGGTCAGTATTCATAAAGCAGTCAAATATAGTTCTCTCGATCAAGCATGTGTTCTTATCTTGTATCAGTCAGACATGTGTATTAGTTTATAAAACTAAACTTTAAGCTAATCATCATCAAACTAATTAACAGTACAAGATATATATATTTTTCTTCCATCATCATGATCATGTCTATGGTTTTGAAATATTCATATGCAAAAAAAAGCAACAAAAACTGCAAAATAAAACTTTTTTATAGTCAAATAGTATAGACGTTTATCAGTGTCCTCTTTCATTTTCATTTTTATCCGCCCGTTTACGTGACGTATTATGGTATACAGTTGTCCGTCTGTCTGTCCGTCAACGTCAACATGTCGGACATTAACTCAAAAATGCTTTAACCAATTTGCATAAAACTTTGGTGAATTGTTTATATCTATTGACGTGAGCTCCCTTTCGTTTTTTATAAATTTTAGATTCTAAGTTTTCAAGTTATGGGGTTTTATTCATTAAAAAAAGGGGGATTTTCCAGTTTTCGGACAATAACTCAAGAATGCTTTCACCAACTTGCAAGAAATTGTGGTGAATTGTTTATATCTATTGACATGAGCTCCCTTTTGATTTTTATAAATTTTAGATTTTACGTTTCTGAGTTACAGGGTTTTATTCATAAAAAAAGGGGAATTTTCCAGTTTTCGGACAAAAATTCAAAAATGCTTTCAGCAGTTCTTATGAAACTTTGGTGAATTGTTTATATCTATTGATGTAAGCTCCGTTTAGAATTTTATAAATTTTTCATTTATCATTTCTGAGTTATGGGGTTTTATTCATTAAAAAAGGGTGGATTTTCCAGTTTTTTGGACAATAACTTCAGCAGTTCTTATGAAACTTTGGTGAATTGTTTATATCTATTGATGTAAGCTCCGTTTAGAATTTTATAAATTTTTTCGTTTATCATTTCTGAGTTATGGGGTTTCATTCATTAAAAAAGGGGGGATTTTCCAGTTTCCGGACAATAAATCAAAAATGCTGTCAGCAATTCTCATGAAACTTTGGTGAATTGTTTATATCTATTGATGTAAGCTCCCTTTACATTTTCATAAATTTCTAATATGACATTGAGAATAAATTGACCTTTATTATACCCCACGCAACGAGTTGGGGAGGGTATAATGTTTTTGACCTGTCCGTCCGTCTGTCCGTCCGTCCGTCTGTCCGTCAGTCCGTCAGTCCTGTTTCTTGTCAGCGCAATTTCTCTCAAACCACACAACAGAATTTCACGAAACCTTTTTAGATAGTAAGGACATACTATGTAGTTGTGCATATCGACAGGAAATTACGATCTATTTTTTTTCTAGGAGTTACGCCCCTTTGAACTTATTTACTTTAATGTACTACTGCAACAGTTTGTCATCTCAACTCCTCTGAAACCACACAACAAAATTTCATGAAACTTTGTAGATAATAAGGACATACTACGTAGATGTGCATATTGACAGGAAATTACGATTCAATTTTTTTTCCAGGAGTTACGCCCCTTTGAACTTATTTGCCCAATATACTACTGCAACCTTTTATCATCGCAACTCCTCTCAAACCACACAATAGAATTTCATGAAACTTTGTAGATAATAAGGACATACTAGGTAGATGTGCATATTGACAGGAAATTATGATTCAATTTTTTTTCTAATACAATTTTTTTTCTTACAGTTATTTTATTTCTCCAGTGACAATGTGGAGACGTGGGGTATGTGAGCGCGCTCACTAAGGTTCTTTAATTTGTTTTTAGTCTGACAACAGATTTACTAAGTATTCGCATCAGCACAGTGTATTGCACAACAGCAAGAAATCTTTAATTGAATATAAATTCAATTCCTATAACCAATTTTTTTTAATCCCCTACCAACGAAGTCAAAGGGAACTTTAGGTTTGCACTCTGTCCGTCTGTCTGTCGGTTGGTCAGTCCGTCCGTCCGTCTGTCCGTCCATCAATCCGTCCGGCAAATCAGTTTTCCACACTTTTTTTCTTCATGCTTGCAGAAATTGATTTGATATTTGGTATACAGTTTTATCATGACAAGTTACAGATCAAGTTTGAATTTTTGTTCCGGTCTGATGATTTTGTGCAAAGTTACAGTCCATGGACTTTGAAAATTATCAGTTTTCCGCACTTTTTTGTCATGCTTAAAGATATTGATTTGATATTTGGTACTGTCGTTACCATGACAAGTTGCAGATCAAATTCAAATTTCATTCTAGTCTGATGATTTTGTGCAGAGTTATGGTCCTCAGACTTAGAAAATTAACAAAAATTATCAGTTTTCCACACCTTTTTCGTCATGCTTAAAGATGTTGATTTGATATTTGTTATATAGTTTACACCATGACACGTTATAGATCAAGTTAGCATTTTGTTCCAGTACAATAAATTTTTAACTGATAGGGGACTATGTATTGCCATGCAAATACTCTCAGAATGCTTGTTTTCAATAAAAAAAAATTGTGGGGGGGGGTGGGGGGGAGCCAAATAGGTAAGTGTGCAAGAACATTATGCCAGTGCTCTTTTTCCTTAAAATTCCAAAAGGTAAAATTAGTTACTTTTTACAGGTGACTTTTTCTGATTACTAATATCATTAATTTTGGTGATTAAATTATCAAAAGAAAACATTTAAGTGATATCTACAATGTAAGTCCCTAATTTCAGTAAATGCCCAGACTGATACAGTTACAGTATACTGCCACATGGATCTCCCATCCATGCAGTATATACTCACTAGTTTTGGATACTTCTATTTTAAGAAGCTAAGTTTTTAAAGATAATATACATACCAGAACATAACAGACAATAGGTTTACAGTCGCAAAGGTCATGAATGTCACTCATTTAGAATCAACTTAATATTCATAAATCTGTGGATTTCCAAAATTTTGAATAAATATTCAGGCTGGTAACATTGAAACAATAATGGAAATATGTTGCCTAGTAACTGCACATATGATTGGATGTTTTAGAATTACTATAATATAATATCATTCCAGACATGGAAACTGCATGTAATTTTAGTATTCTTTTTATTGACTAAGTAACAGATGGTATACAAACATATGTCAAAGTTTCATAAAATACACCAGAAAATCTGAAATTTTGCAATTTGAGATCAGTGTCCACTGTTGAATATTTAATAATATAACAAATAAAAGTTTCATTTCATTCAAATACAAAGTTTGTATCTATAATTTATATTTTCAGTTGTGGACAAAAAAATTAGATTAGCTGGAATTCCTGGAAGAAATATTGAGTGTATGTTTTGGATGATGCCTTAATTTTGCAAGTGTAAATTCTAGAAAGTCAGCTTAAATATCCTTTAAAATTTGCAGGTTTGTTTTACTTAATAGAAATGTCTGTATATATTAATATTCTATAGCAACAACATCAATGAACATATTTCATACAGAACATGACTAAAACTTTGTGTGCAATAATATATTATATTGCATTAGTGCAAAAAAAATCAAATTAGCAATGTATCGTCTGTGAGAAAAATATGTTTAAAAGAGTTTTTCAAGCTTTTACAATATTCATGCAATAACCCTATATTACATTGAAATTCTCATATTTTTTTAATGTTAAGTATTTGTAAAAACGAGTGACAAAGCAAATTTTGACATGCAGTCTGTTAATGATAGTGTTTAAAATTATGTGTTCAGTTGTGTTGTATTTTAAATCTATTTTTAGAGTCAGACTATAAATTAATCAATAATTATATTTAAATGTACACATGTTGTATATATCTGCAGATCAGTTAAAAATTCTTCAATTGAAAATCCATAATGTGCATAACCCTATTGAGTAATCACAGACTATGTCTCTTCGTTAAATGTTGTGGAAATGTTTTGGAAAAATTTACCTTCAGAAACTATCATTGGTGTAACTCATTCATAAAAAAGAACTCTAAATTGGTCTACAGGGAAAGGAAATTTGTTAACATAAGGAAATGTTTTCTCAGTGATTCATAATAAATTATTAATATAAAAGCACTAAAATTTAGTCTAGTCCAAAAAAAATAATCCCAAATTGCATTTGATATGATGAAAAAGTCGAGATAACCATGGTGTATACATGCTGCATCAACAAGATAGCTAATTCATGAAATTAACATTGGTAATTTTTCTTTAACAATTTACTTGAATGCCAACTGTTCGTTTGCTATCACAGGTCACACTACTTTTGCTACGATATAACAGATTTGTGTTGTTTATAGGTATCGACTTATGAAAAAAAATCTATTGACTTAGTTAAAAGATTAAAGCAATCCACAAAAAAGGAAAATGACAATAAAAAAGTTTGACAATATTTTGATAATTTTATCAAGGCTGATTACACGTTAGATAATTTCATTGTTTGATTTTGGAATTGAAGAGTTATAAATTGCAAAATACAATTTATTTCCCCACAGCAGTCTTATCGCTCAACCACAGGCCCACCAGCCCAGGCTTGTAAAACTTCTGTCGGGGCTGTAAAAATTATCTCCACAGGCCAAAAATTCAGCTTCGGGCCTTTAGATTCAAAAGTCTATTGTGAAGGCTGCCACAGGTGACAATAGTAGCCTTTTTCGAGATACAGACTTTAGAATGTTGATTTTTAGAGTGAAACCTTGCTAGAATTAAAGAAAAATTATTAGACAGTATTTTTTAGTCCAAAAAATATAGGTTCCCTTTGCTTTTCTTGACACAATATGTACTCATCTCCCTTGCCTATCAGTTTTGCATTATTAAATATGTGTCTTGTCACAATGGCAGATAAGACTTCTCAGGTCCTTTAGGGCAGAGGAAAATATATTATTTTGCCTTTGGTATAATGCAGAGTGCATGAAGTGTCTAGTAATAGAATATATTGGCTGCACACAACGACCAATCAAGATTAGCCATACTATTAATTTTGAATACCAAGTAATCTTAAATGACTGCACCCATAATATATATTGGTTCATTGTACCCATACTTAAGTTTATGATTATTTGGAGAAAAAGAAAGAATAAGTTTTATTTGAATATTTTGAACATGTTTGTTTATTTGATCTATTAACAATATTATCATAATTATTTTATTTTGTCTTTCTATTTTATACAGCTGAAGTGAAATACTCAGTTGTTCGTATTGTGGTGGTAAAAAAAACTCACCATGAAGTTGACAAGGGTCGAGATGTTGAGAAAGTCTGCTCATGCAGCAACGTATAATATGGTTTTACAGGTAAATCATCTTACAACATGTAGAATCGCAGAATCTTTTGGTCTTCCTTAATTACTGAAAACTTCAGCAGGTTGTTATTTTCGCAATTTCAATACATAAACTTTTCATGCTGGGATTAAATTCATCAATGGGTAAGTCTCACTTCACATCAATATTGTCGCTTTCTACAAACAAAAAACATTCTGCACTGCCAACTGGAAACCCCTTAGCAATTTATTGTAAGAACTGTTGTTTTTTCATAGAGTATGGCATATTCCTGCATATGTGCTTTATTTTACTTCTCCTAGGTTACTGGAAAATCCATAAAAAAATCGTTGGCATTTGATATAATAAGTAAAATCAAGGATTCATCTACTATATCCTTTACATAAATAAAAGAAGGCATGGGGGTAAACATCAGTAAGACAGCAACTCAATGGAACAAGAAACATATAGAGGTCAACATACAGTCTTCAAAAATAGACAGACGTCTATACAATTTATGCCACTCGCCATCAGTCTTAAATAGTTCAGTACAAATTAAAAAGAATGTATAAAAAATATGCAGTATATTTGTACATGTTTACTTTTTATGCTTTTTCCAGCTATTTCTGAAGATGATATCATTTGTTTTGAACATGATTGTGATCAGACTGGCTTCAAAAGACATGCTGGGTGTTGTGAATATAAGGTATGAAAAAGTCATCTTTTGCCTTCCATTTATTGGAAGTACAGGTGCAATTTATATGCAATTTTAATTTATACAATTACATATAGTATTATGATCCAATCAATGAGCCCATTGAATGGCAGATTAATTACAAGGCATCATTTACACAACATAACAAACAAACTTAAAAATTAACTAATAAGACAATAGTAGTTCATGAGAATAACAATTGTATTCATTGTTTAAAAAGTTTTTTATTTTTCAAACTTATGTCAATATGAAGTAAAATCTATACCAGGAAAAATGGTTTATACAGTGTTGGACACCAAATGTATATACCCACAAACAATTTTTTTTTTCCTTTTTTAACTTCCGCTTATAAGATCAAGTTACTGTTATATCCAGCCACCTGCAAACAAAATAAAACTCCCACCTGCACTTTGCTGTCATGTCCACAACCATTTGGGGTTTTACAAGAGTTGTTGCTCCTTGCCTGCTGGTCACTATTTTAGATATGAGCGAACAAAAAAAATTGCAACTGTACCAGTTAGCATTCAGAACACACACAATTATTGGTTCCCAGTTTAGGTTCAACAAGAGTGATTTAATGGATAGAAACCATTTAGGTTTTGCAAACTTGGACTTTTTCTTTAGAGCAAAATTAAAAAGACAACTTTTTGAAAACTGTTTTCCGCTGGTATCTAAATGCTGCTATTTACCAAAATGAAAAGTATGACTGACTTTTTAGTTTTAAGTACAATCAAGGTACCTATCCATGTATATTTAATGAAGTGTCAACTACCCACACAATTACATTTGCCTCCACCCCACTACTTACTCGCACACAAAAATATCATGTGTTGTCCAACCAACCCTCCTGTTCATTTTTCCTGGAAAAAGCCCTAATTAGATATTGAGGACATCCAGCTAGATTTGACAAAGAGGACAATTGCATCATTCTCATATTTCAGATAAAATTTTTGTTAATTCTGATATAAGAGATGTTAGTTAACATATATGTTTCTAATTCTCAATGTAACCTGGAATTAACAAATCTGCCCTAGATTGTAACTGAAGGGGACAAACAATCAGAAAACATACAAATATACAGTTCATATACAGTCGACTCTTGCTTGTCTCGAAATTCTGCTTGAGTTGAAAAATTTCTGCGGACAAAAGGTACTTTTTATTAATTTACTCTAAGTCAAAATTTGACTAGTCAAAAGTTTGCTTGCCTCAAATTAACTCTACAGTCCGTATGTACAATAAATGATGTAATTTTTGTTTATGTCGAAAGTTTTAACACCTGTCAAAAATTCATCCCTGGAATAAATGTCTTCACCACACTAATTGACAACTTAATCCAATTATCAATGATTTTGTTTATACAACACTTAAATGGTTGAACACTTTTTATACGACCGCAAAAAAATTTTGCGGTCGTATATTGGTATGACGTTGGCGTCTGCGTCATCGTCATCCGAAGACACATTGGTTTTCGCACTCTAACTTTAGTTTAAGTGAATGGATCTCTATGATATTTTATCATAAGGTTCAATACCACAAAAGGAAGGTTGGGATTGATTTGAGGGGTTATGGTACCAACAGTTAAGGAATTAGGGGCCAAAAATAAGCATTTTTGTAACTTCCAGACATAACTTGTGTGTTAGTGTATGGATCTCTCTGACATTGTACCACAAGGTTCCATATCACAAAGGGAATGCTGGGATTTATTTTGGGGGTAATTGCCTCAAAATTTTAGGAATTAGGGGCCAAAAAAGGGGCAAAAAACAAGCATTTTTTCTAGTTTCATGATAATAACTTGTGTGTAAGTGTATGGATCTTTCTGAAATTGTACTACAAGGTTCCATATCACAAAGGGATAGCTGGAATTGAGTTTGGGGGTAATTGCCCAAAACGTGTAGGAATAAGGGGCCAAAAAGGGGCCAAAAATAAACATTTTTTCTAGTTTGCAGACAATAACTTGTGTTCAAATGTATGGATCTCTCTGAAATTGTACTGCAAGGTACTATACCACAAAGGGAAAGCTGGGATTGATTTTGGGGGTAATTGCCTCAAAATTTTAGGAATTCGGGGCCAAAAAGGGGGAAAAAACAAGCATTTTCCTAGTTTCAGGACAATAACTTGTGTGTTAGTGTATGGATCTTTATGAAATTGTACAACAAGGTTCCATATCACAAAGGGAAAGCTGTGTTTGAGTTTGGGGGTAATTGCCTTAAACGTTTAGGAATTTGGGGCCATAAAGGGGCCTAAAAACAAGCATCTTTCTAGTTTCCAGACAATAACTTGTGTTCAAGTGTATGGATCTCTCTGAAATTGTACTGCAAGGTACCATACCACAAAGGAAAGACTGGGATTGATTTTGGGGGTAATTGCCTCAAAATTTTAAGAATTAGGGGCCAAAAATGGGCAAAAACAAGCATTTTTCTAGTTTCAGGGAAATAACTTGTGTGTAAGTGTATGGATCTTTATGAAATTGTACTACAAGGTACCATATCACAATGGGAAAGCTGGGTTTGAGTTTGGGGGTAATTGCCCTAAACGTTTTGGAATTAGGGGCCATAAAGGGGCATAAAAACTAACATTTTTCTAGTTTCCAGACAATAACTTGTGTTCAAGTGTATGGATCTTGCTGAAATTGTACTGCAAGGTACCATACCAAAAAGGGAAGACTGGGATTGAGTTTGGGGTTGATGAATCATAAGGGGGTTCAAAAAATTTGGGGGAGGGATTTTTTTTTCCTTTTTTTTTCTTTAAAATTTTCCATTTTAAATTGGTTATTTCTGATTTATATATAAAAGCAAATAATAATAATATGGTTTGAATAGGTAAATTAGAAATTTTTAAGTTCTTAGACCACATTCATTCGAATTCTGTGTCAGAAACCTATGCCGTGTCAAATATTTAATCACAATCCAAATTCAGTGCTGTATCAAGCTTGAATGTTGTGTCCATACTTGCCCCAACTGTTCAGGGTTCGACAGCTGCGGTTGTATCAAGCTGCGCCCAGCGGAGCATTTTATTAATAATAATAATATTATCTACCTATTGCATGATCAATAAAATGTAACCAGATTGTATGCATCAAAGTATTTTTCTCTTATTATTGTGCTATGAGATGTGAAGAACTAACTTGGTACGCTTGGATCAATATAAAGAATAAAGCGTTCAAACAAACCCACTTCATTGTAATTTTTTTTCAAAGCCTTAATTTATATGTTTGGTCAAGTCAAGTTTATTGAACACTTTATTCAATATTAACGCAGGAACAATTAATAAGTAACTGTAATACGCTGATAAAGTACATGTAACAACAAGGGGCTTCATCACACAGACTTTTCACTTTTAAAGAGGTAAAAAGTTGTTAAATTAGAAAACTACAGTATGGTTGGAAAAACTACTGAAAACAAATACCACTTCTCAAATGAAAAAGTGGTTTGGATCGTCAGAGCACATACCATATAAAAATGATGCAAAATGCCGACCCAGCTGTGTGTCAGCAAGTTTCTATCTTGAAATTGTAAACAATCTATTTTCAAGTAGATAAATCATACATCATTCTATCTCTATTCACTTTACTCTAGGAATATGTAACTTTTATTCACGTATTAACCCCCTGTATCACAAAAAAAAACTTTATTCCCTTCAATCCCCAATATTTCACTTTGTCTTTTCACTTTGAACAATTTGTCATATGACTGCATTCTTTCATTCCGTGCGCAAAGAACATGTAGAATTTTGGAAATTAATTTATGCATTTGATCCTAGCGACCTGCATTTATTAACAAGCCTCTTCATCCAATCTATCGTATGCAAACATAAGGCATCTTATCCTTTATACATAAATTAGCTACAATGTACCATGATTAGCTCACCAGGCCCCAAGGGCCCCATGTGAGCTTATGCCATCACTTGGCATCCGTTGTTGTCGTCTGTCTTCATCGTCGTAAACTATTTCAAGTTCCTTTTAAACTACTTGGCCAAATACCTTCAACCTTTAACTGAATGTTCCTTAGGGTATCTAGTTTATAAATTATATCCAAAGTTTTGATCCATCAACAAACATGGCCGCCATGGATAAAAATAGAACATAGGGGTCAAATGCAGTTTTTGGCTTATATCTCAAAAACTGAAGCATTTAGAGCAAATCTGACGGGGGTAAAAATGTTCAATAGGTCAAGATCTATCAGCCCGAAATTTTCAGACAACTCCAACAACCCATTGTTGGGTTGCTGCCACTAAATTGGTAATTTTAAAGAAATTTTGCAGTTTTTGATTATTATCTTGAATATTATTGAAGATAAAGATAAACTGTAAATAGCAAAAATGTTCAGCAAAGTAAGATCTACAAAAAAGTTAATATGACCGAAATTGTCAATTGACCCCTTAAGGAGTTATTGCCCTTTAAAGACAATTTTATACAATTTGTTCATGTTTGCTAACATTTAAAAATCTTCTCCTCTGAAACTACTGGGCCTAATACTTCTAAATTTTAACTGAATGTTCCTTAGGGTAACTGGTTTATAAAGTTTATCCGAAATTTTGATCCTTTAACAAACATGACCCCTGTGGCTAAAAATAGAACTTAGGAGTCAAATGCAGTTTTTGGCTTTTATCTCAAAAACTAAAGCAGTTAGAGCAAAAGTGACATGGATTTAAAGTGATGATTAGTCAAGATCTATCTGCTATGAAATTTTCAGACCAAGGGTTACTGTCTGAAATAGTTTATTTTTATGAAATTTTACTGTTTTTGGTTATTTTCTTTGATATTATAATAGATAGAGAGAAAGTGTAAATGGCAAAAAGTTTCAGCTAAGATGGATTTACAAATAAGTCAAATGATCAAAATAGTCAATTGACTCCTTAAGGAGTTATTTCCCTTGAAACTTTTATTTTTTACATTTTTTCATGCAAGTCTATTACTTATTCAAAAATCTTCTTCTCTGAAACTAATTAGCCAAATACTTCCAAACTTTAACTGAATGTTCCTTAGGGTATCTAGTTTGTAATTTTTATCCGAAGTTTTGATCCATCAACAAACATGGGCGCCATGGCTAAAAATAGAACATAAGGGACAAAAGCAGTTTTTGGCTTATATATCAAAAACTACAGCAGTTAGAGCAAAAGTGAAAGGTAGTTAAAGTGTGATAAATGGGTCATTATCTCTGTCATGTAATTTTCAGACAAGTTCGACAACCCATTGGTCATGATGGTGGGTTACTTTTGGAAACAGTTTATTTTTATAAAATTTTACTGTTTTTGGTTATTTTCTTTAATATTATAATAGATAGAGAGAAAGTATAAATGGCAATAAATGTTCAGCTAAATAAGATCTACAAATAAGTCAACATGATCAAAATAGTCAAGTCACCCCTTAAGGAGTTATTGCTCTTAAAAGTTTTTTTTTTTTTTCACATTTTTTGTGAAAGTCTAACTACTTTTTTCAAAAACCTTCTTCTCTGAAACTACTTGGCCAAATACTTAAAAACTTTATTTGAATGTTCCTTAGGGTGTCTAGTTTAAAGATTGTATTCGGGGATTTGATCCATTAAAAAACATGGCAGCAGTTTCTAGAAATAGAACATAGGTTCATGAAAAACTTTGTCATTGAATATAGCGGGTTGATGGAATTAAAACTCTTGTTTTTTCTTTAAGGGTTTAGAAATTGAATAAAAGTATGGCATAACAAACTTGTTGCCTTTTGATGTGTTAAATGTGTTGTGTAATTTACTTTTGATAACTGATATTCATTCACTGATCTGCTTTACTAGAGTGTTGGACTTTTAACTGTCAAAATTTAAGGAATTTTATGTATCCCTTAGGGTATTCTGCAAGTTTTTTTACTTGGCCTTCCGACTTCTGAGTGAATGCCTTCTGCTATATTCCATTTTATTCTTTCAATGATTTCAATTATGCTGATGATGGGCATATCCTTTGTTCTTGAAGCACCTGTTTATTACATCTGAGGTTGCTTTGTTTCCAATTATTTCCCCCAATGATCATGCAATGAGTTATCTTGATGCATATGTTGCTTGATGTCAGACTAAATTCTAGTCATACAGTCATAATTTATAGTACAGGGCAGTAATACTTAGATATTTCATTAAAACTTTGATATTGTTTGCTTTTTATTGGTAAAACATATTTCAATTGATATTTATACATTTTATTTATATTTTATTCCTTTGTAGATTGTACCTGTTATATACTACAGTTTTGTTTTTAGGTACAGAAGCATTTGATAATGCTAGTCTCAGTAAAATTGAAGGAAAGACTTGGAGGCAGGTCATCAACTTGATGTGGCTGACGTAAGTGGGCATTTATTAGTCTGTAAACTCATAATTTATTCTAAGGATACCATTAAAATAAAATTTAGTAAGCAGCCTTGAAACATAGGTTGACTGTTATTATAAATAAATAACAGGAAGAGCATACCCCCATGTTGATGTTAAAAAATTGAAAACATGTTAATATAATATATGTCTCGTAAATTTTATGTCAAAGTTTTGGTAAGTAGTCTAAAAGATGATCTGTTTTGTACTTATATTTAATAATGGTTAAAATAAATGAACTAAATGATACATTTCAGAGTTCCTCTCACTTGGCTGTTAAGTTGTATAGGTATTGTGGTATGGTTGTATGTTTGGAAAGTTCCAGATCCTGAAGTCATTCCAAATTACTATATTGGTGTAATCTCCTATGCAATGGCAGCTGTTATAGCAACTTTAGCCAGACCACATTTCACAGTAGCAGTGTCAAATTTCTTTGTGGGTCTAAGGGTGAGTTATAGGATTGATTTTGATGTACTGTGTAAAATTGCTGAGGCAAAAATGAAATACTTTGATGACCTACTCTAAAAGATTTGAGTGTCTTGACAAAGCGTTATAAAAGAAATAGTGCATTGTGTCCTTACAGTACACCACAAATCCTACTTCTGCTGTCTTATTATACCCTGGCTCAAAAAGAGGGGGTATATTCCTTTCTGTCCATCCCATGAAATTTTCATCACCTTTTTCTTAGAACTTACAAATCAAAGCTTCACAAGATTTAGTATCAAGCTTCATGTGTGCATGCTATAGGTGCAATGTGTTTTCACATGTTTTGCTGATCAACTTCCTGTTTACAGAATACCTGTATATTTTTTCATATGATGGCCATACATGAAATTTAGTAAAATATTTCTCTGGAACTGCAAATCTGAGCTTCCTGAAATTTATAGGCAAAGTTTCATGTAAGTGTGCTTTACCATTTGATGTGTTTTCACATCTATTGCTTATCAACTGCTAAATGTCAAATTGGTAATTAAATATATCAAAATCAAGTGAAAAAGTCTTCATAACATTGGGAATTTCAAAAGTTCTAGTGAACATGCAAAAATCTGGATGTGTAATGTAAATTGGGATTGGGCTTGGAGACATTACTAAATGTAGAATGCTTTCAAAAGTTCATCTGTATTGTAAACAGTATCCTTAGTCGGTGTAAGTCTGAGCAGATGCATTCTGACATCTATATTATATTTATTTAGAACTTGTTTGTATTATTATTAAGGTTGTTGACACATCAGCTTGAGTTAACCATGATGTTGTCAACACATAAGCATGAGTTAACCACAAGGTATTTGACACATCATCTTGAGTTAACCATGACATTGTTGACACATCAGCATGAGTTAACCATGATGTTGTTGACACATCAGCATAAATTAATCATGATGCTGACAACACATCAGTTTGAGTTAACCATGAGGTTGTTGACACATCATCTTGAGTTAACCAGGACATTGTGGACATGTCAGCTCGAGATAATCATGAGGTTGTTGACACATCAGCTTGAGTTAACCATAAGGTTGTTGACACATCAGCTTGAGTTAACCATGATGTTGTTGACTCATCAGCATGAATTAATCATGATGTTGACGACACATCAGTTTGAGTTAACCATGAGATTGTTGACACATCATCTTGAGTTAACCATGACATTGTCGACACATCAGCTCAAGTTAATCATGAGGTTGTTGACACATCAGCTTGAGTCAACCATGAGGTTGTTGACACATCCGCTTGAGTTAACCATGACGTTTTCAACACATCTGCTAGAGTTAACCATTACATTGTCGACTCATCAACTTGATTTAATCATGAGGTTGTTGACACATCAGCTTGAGTTGACCATAAGGTTGTTAACACATCAGCTTGAGTTAACCATGATGTTGTTGACTCATCAGCATGAATTAATCATGATGTTGACAACACATAAGTTTGAATTAACCATGAGGTTGTTGACACATCATCTTGAGTTAACCATGACATTGTCGACACATCAGCTTGAGTTAATCATGATGTTGTTGACACATCAGCTTGAGTTAACCATGAGGTTGTTGACACATCAGCTTGAGTTAACCATGAGGTTATTGACACATCAGCTTGAGTTAACCATGAGGTTGTTGACACATCATCTTGAGTTAACCAGGACATTGTGAACACATTTGCTTGAGTTAACCTAGAAGTTGTTGAAAAATCGATTGGAAACTTGGTATACTTGTTCATTATGATGAGAACTATCAAAAAATATATACAAAATTATGATATTGACCAACATTTTGTGGTTCATATATAGACTGTGTGAGTGGGACATAGTGTCCTTTGGACACATCTTCACAGGGCTCACGCTAGCAGGCGACTGGGGCGATAAAGTCGTTTTCCCGTCCGTCACTTCACTTTGCCCGACCGTCAAAAGCGAAATCTAGTCGCCCTGTTGTTCACCATACTCGCTTTCAGTCGTTTTCGTCACAGTACATTTTCAATTTTTACCAAGTCGATGAAACATCAATCTTTTAGTGAAAATTAAAGAAATTCAGACATAGACGATTCATTATCTGAAGAAAAGAGGTTTAAGCATTGACTTTACAGTGTGTAGCAGGTTATTTAATTAAAAGACAACTTTTTATCACTTCATGCACTTCGGTACTTGAGAGCGTACAACAATCTAAGTTTCGGCGGCAAAGTAAGTTTGTTACTTCATTTGAACGTGATAAAAGTTGCATCCAGTAAATGTTTAATCCATTTATTGCATTAAAAACGTTATATTCCTTTCCAAATAGCTTGTCAAATATTGTTTATTTTTGTAAATTTTCTTCGTCCGCCATTAACTGTTTACTAACTACGGATCGGAAACGGAGCAGCTGTGACCGAAATCTGTATTTTTACAATAATAACTACGGACGCATGAATGGAACAACTGACAGAAGAATATTGATCCCAAAAGGAAAATTATGCATTCCACACGCATTAACAGACCTTTGGTTAGATCTACTTGATTAATGTATATAATTCCATACATATGGATTGTTTCAAAATATTGATTAAAGTTGCATAACTCTGGGACTATAATACTATTATATCAATATATTATGGTCCAGCTTAACTTTGTATATCTTTTGATGAGAAACACTGAATTTCATAAACATGATAAACAAGATAGTTTTTTAACTGAATTGTAATTGATATATTATAATTTCTTTACCTTTTTGACATAAAAAAAAATATTTTTAGTGCTAGATTATTTAGTTGGTAGTTTCTCACAAGAACCTCAACTTAAACAACTTTGAATTTGAACTGTTACTTTAATTGTATACTCAGATATGAATTGAACAATATAAAAAGAACATTATTTACGTATGACCCTTTGTACTATAGGTAGTAAAAACCAAACATTGTAGCGCAGCGCGCGAAGGAACACTTCTCTTTCAAATCTCACCACTTCTCCCTATCAGTTTCAAAAAGAGAAGTCACTTCTCCCTATGATTCTGAAGTAGTGTGAGCCCTGATCTTCGTGTGTTTTTTGTATTTCAGGTTTTATATATGGCCTAACAATATGTTTTGTGTTTTTTAGGTAGGTGCTGTAGCTGTTGGTGAATCCTTTAAAGTTTTGACAGCAGTGATACTTTTATGGTTAAAACCTGAGCTAGGAATTATATGTTTTGCAGTAGGACAGGTTAGTTCTAGTGAATAAGTCTTGTTTGTTTAACAACTGATTCAGTAATACTATAGATGACAATCAGGTTATTGTGAAAATATAGATATAAAAGAGAGGCTGCATATTTTCTCATCACTTGCAATTCAGTAGTGCCATGGGTGTATATAAGGAAAAGGATGATGTTGAATTTGAGCAGTTTTCTGCATCAGAGTACCATATTATGGTTTTGTAATGTCAATTTGTTTAATCTGGTCTTATTATAAACAACTTTATTCAATACTTATCATGGGTGTCATAAAAATTGGCATGACTTTGATATTGTTTAAATAAAACTTTTGGCATGTACTTCTAGTTAGCTTGTGAAACAAAGTAAAACTTGTTTTGATTGTGACCCCGCACAAATGCATTGAATAAATCAATGATATGGATACAAAAATCTTCATATTGCATTGGTGATGTTTGACATTATGAAATTTTTTTTACAGAAAGCCTAATGTTTAGTATCTAATTACCTTATACAAAATGTTTACCAATGTTTTAACACCTGTTATCGTTTAGGGGACGTATTATTGTATACCGTTGTCCGTCCGTCTGTCCTCAACATGTCTGACATTAACTCAAAAACGCTTTAACCAATTTGCATAAAACTTTGGTGAATTGTTTATATCTATTGACGTGAGCTCCCTTTCGTTTTTAATCAATTTCAGATTTTACGTTTCCGAGTTATGAGGTTATATTCATTAAAAAAGGGTGATTTTCTAGTTTTCGGACAATAACTCCAAAATGCTTTCACCAATTTGCAAGAAGTTTTGGTGAATTGTTTATATCTATTGACATGAGCTCCCTTTCCATTTTCATAAATTTTAGATTTTACGTTTCTGAGTTATGGGGTTTTATTCATTAAAAAAAGGGGCAGTATACAGTTTTCGGACAATAACTCCAAAATGCAGTTCTCATGAAACTTTGGTGATTTGTTTATATCTATTGATGTAAGCTCCCTTTCGAATTTTATAAATTTTAGATTTTACGTTTCAGAGTTAAGGTGTTTTATTCTTTAAAAAAGGGGGGATTTTCCAGTTTCGGACTATATCTCAAAAATGCTTTCAGCAGTTCTCATTATACTTTGGTGAATTGTTTAAATCTATTGACAAAAGCTTCCTTTCGATTTTCAGAAATTTCTGATATGACATTGAGAAGTGATTGAACTTTATTCTTTGAAAATGCAACGGGCGTATCATGAGCTCATGGCGCAGCTGTTTATTTATGACCTGCCTCTAAGTGGCTGGCACATATATATATATATATACCTATGTTCATCCTGTAATTCTGAAATCAAACATGTCAACTGTTCAGACTATATATTTCCTGCAGATTTGGAGCTGATTTTTTCGGTACATTAGTAGGAGTTTGAGTTTCAATTCGGTTGACTGACTTTTGTTTGCAGAATTACGGACCTTGAACATGTTCTTGTTCTTGTCAAGACTTATTTTCTTATATCTGGAGATCTGGAGGGGATTTTTGGTATATTAGGTGTAAAATGATGTGTTACAGTTTGAATTTGTTTTTCTTTAAGGGCATACAATACAGTTTTGAGCCCACAGTGTTTTTTTACGAAAATTTGCATACAAGCTATTTTTTCACTAGAAAATTCAAATATGTAATAAAAAATAAACCTTGATGTGCTAAATTTAGAGATAAATGGGGTGGAAAATTTTAGACATTTACTTAAACTTTCGGTTTCTTGGACATTTCAATCCTTTGGACATGTACAGACATACTTAATTTTTTGTTTCAAAAGGTAAATACATGAGGATTTTTGTAAAAAGGTTTGGAATATCTTCGTTACAAAAGTAGGCTCTTAATTTGTTTAACAATTCTTTGTAAATAATTCATTTTTATTAAATTTTCATGATTTTAGAAAGAAAAAAAACGGAATTTTTTGCTGTATATTTATCTAGTTTAATAAAAAATCATCGATGATTTTTTGGGAAAGACTGCTTTAAGCCGTCAATTCCCTATAAGGCTGGCCAGACTTCCAAGCCCCTCACCTCACTCATTTTGTATTTATAGTTTGGGAAAACACCTCAAAATTTCATACTGAATTGATGAGAAGGAGACACACAAATGAACAGATTGACTTTAAACACTTTTTTACACATTTGCCTTCTGTATCTCATGACATTATTGTATCTTGAGCTATCCTTAACATTATTTACGTTTCTTTTACAATCCGGAATAAAATGCTCCGCAGGGCGCAGCTTGATACGACCGCAGAGGTCGAACCCTGAACAGTTGGGGCAAGTATGGACACAACATTCAAGCTTGATACAGCTCTGAATTTGGATTGTGATTAAATATTTGACACAGCATAGGTTTCTGACACAGAATGAATGTGGTCTAAGAACTTAAAAATTCTAAATTGGACATTCACCTATTATGGTCCAATATCCAAAATCTAAATACATGGTTAGATTCAGCATATCAAAGAACCCCAAGAATTCAATTTTTGATGAAATCAAACAAAGTTTAATTTTGGACCCTTTTGACCTCAATGTGGACAAAGTTGATAACGGGGCCCAAAATCTAAATACATGGTTAGATTCAGCATATCAAAGAACCCCATATATTCAATTTTTGTTGAAATCAAACAAAGTTTAATTTTGGACCCCGATTTGGACCAACTTGAAAACTGGGCCCATAATCAAAAATCTAAATACATGTTTAGATTCAGCATATCAAAGAACACTAAAAATTCAATTTTTGTTAAAATCAAACTAAGTTTAATTTTGGACCCTTTGGACCTTAATGTAGACCAATTTGAAAACGGAACCAAAAATTAAGAATCTAAATACACGGTTAGATTCGGCATATCAAAGAACCCCAATAATTCAATTTTTGATGAAATCAAACAAAGTTAAATTTTGGACCCTTTGGACCTCAATGTGGACCAATTTAAAAACGGGGCCCAAAATCCAAAAACTTAATACACGGTTATATTCAGCATATTAAAGAACACCAAGAATTCAAGAATAAAACCCCATTGAAATTGATCAAGAAATAAGCAATTTATAAGAAGTATCTTCTTTTGCACAATACTGTGCAATTGAATATTTCTTGCTATTGCACAATACTGTACAATTGACAATTTCTTGCTATTGTGCAATACTGTGCTATTGGATATTTCTTGCTATTGCACAATACTGTGCAATTGAAGATTTCTTGCTATTGCGCAATACTGTGCAATTGAAGATTTCTTGCTATTGTGCAATATTGTGCTATTGGATATTTCTTGCTATTGCGCAATACTGTGCAATTGAAGATTTCTTGCTATTGTGCAATATTGTGCTATTGGATATTTCTTGCTATTGCGCAATACTGTGCAATTGAAGATTTCTTGCTATTGTGCAATACTGTGCAATTGAAAATTTCTTGCTATTGCACAATACTTATTATATAAAAATTTACACATCCTGTTTGGTGTGTATCTCCTACCATATCATTATTATTTGCTTTTAAATATAAATCAGAAATAACCAACTTAAAATGGAAAATTTTAAAAGAAAAAAAAAAGGAAAAAAAGAAAAAAAAAGAAAAAAAAAAAAATCCCCCCCCCTCAAATTTTTTGAACCCCCTTATGATTCATCACCCCCAAACTCAATCCCAGCCTTCCCTTTGTGGTGCGGTACTTTGCAGTACAATTTCAGAGAGATCCATACACTTGAACACAAGTTATTGTCTTGAAACTAGAAAAATGCTTATTTTTGGCCCCTTTTTGGCCCCCAATTCCTAAACGTTTCAGGCAATTACCCCCGAACTCAATTCCAGCTTTCCCTTTGTGATATGAAACCTTGTAGTACAATTTCAGAAATATCCAAACACTTACACACAAGTTATTGTCATGAAACTAGAAAAATGCTTGTTTTTTGCCCCTTTTTTGGCCCCTAATTCCTAAAATTTTGAGGCAATTACCCCCAAAATCAATTACAGCCTTCCCTTTGTGATATGGAACCTTGTGGTACAATGTCAGAGAGATCCATACACTTACACACGAGTTATTGTCTGAAAGTTACAAAAATGCTTATTTTTGGCCCCTTTTTGGCCCCTAATTCCTTAACTGTTGGTACCATAACCCCCAAAATCAATCCCAACCTTCCTTTCGTGGTATTGAACCTTATGGTAAAATTTCATGGAGATCCATTCACTTAAACTAAAGTTAGAGTGCGAAAACTAATGTGTCTTCGGACGACGCCGGACGACGCCAGACGACGACAACGACGACGACGACGCCAACGTCATACCAATATACGACCAAAAAATTTTTAATTTTTGCGGTCGTATAAAAATCAGTATTACGAAATATTCAAAATATATCCAACCTAGTGAAGTCATGGTTGGAATTCTACACTAGGTAGAAGCAGGGATATCCTTTCCTCATTATTAAAATCATTCACAGAAATCGTGTATGATTTAGAAATCGGTATTTGTTTATTTAAAAACATAATTATGTTTGCTGTTGATGATTCAAACATGCAATGCTTTGATATGTAGGTCAACTTTCACGGTAAACAATGGGGATACATGGGATTGGGGAGAGAAACGTCAGTTTTCATTCTTTTCTGTAACTGTATTTAGAATCTCCAATACAGGAGCTCCTCAAATTGATAAGTAATTATCAACGTTAAGAAAAGTTTCAGTATCTAAACACTTAAAATGTGATATTTATTATATGATAAGTAGTTTTCCATTAAAACAAAATTTTATGTACCAACATAATCATTGTAATGGTAAAAAAAAAATATAAAATTTTCAAATGGCTTTTTGTAGTTTAAACATATTTAAATGGAAATTAAAAACTGAATATTAACCAACAATTAATTTTAATATTATCAATCTTTCTACATGTTTTTGCTCATTCTTTGTATGAAGACTATCAAAAGATACAAAAAAAAAAATAGAAACATTTGCAGTCTTTTCCCTCAGAGCTTTTAAGCTCTTTGATTCATAATAATTGGAACAAATAATCTTTATACAGTATCAAGTCAAATGTCATTTTAAAAAAGAGGGGTCCATGTACTCGTTTTCAAGCTAATGATTAAAATCCCTCGAAAAATTCATCTTTTCCCTATATGTTGCAGTTTGACATCGCGAAAAATAACATTTTACGTTAGCAACGTCATTATCTCCCCTGTAACTGTATTGTATGCCCTTAATTGTCTGACTTATGGAAGTACAGCCCTTGCACATAAAAAGTTTCATAAAAATGTTAACTTTCCCAGATTTTTCAACAATTGGTAAAACCTGCAGTTCTTGAGAAAAGTGAAGGTACATTAGGGTATATCTGTGATGTACAGATTAAGATTGCTTATTGATATGGTTGACTGACTTTAAATGGAATTATTGCCCTTTGACTCAAGAAAAAATAGCTGAAAACTACCAGTATTGCTTGATGATCTAAATCTGATTTTTTGTACATAGCTGTGTTTTTAAATGTATGATATTGAAATTTCAGATTATAGGAGAGACTTTATACATAACTACCTATTATACATTCTTTTGGATTTACATAAATACTGGAGATGAAGTAGATAAGAGTTTTGCCTTTCAATCTACCAGAGACTTTTTTCCAAAGTCGTCAGAGACTAAGGTAGGTTGATGATATACAGTCAAACCTGCTAAAAAGGCTGTTTTTATTCAGCAACAACCTGTATGGGCACAACACCTTCTTGTCCCTCTATAGTAATACTTATGCATTTTGAATCTAATTTTAAAGGTCACCTTACTTGTAAGGTCATTTCTTTCTGGTCATAAGGGTGGCCGTTATGTACAGATTTGACTGTATATACAAAAAAAAAAAAAGAAATATTGATTCTGGATATTGATTTTGTAGTAATATTATGAACTTTCAAATATTAATTTTTTGTGTAACATAAAGTGTCAGAATTTTCTTAGTTACTAAAGTAGTTAAAGTTGTAAAATTGAGTTTTTCCCTCTTTTGCAGTCACTCTTTGCTTTCAATTTTTTCCAACAAATTTCAACTATGTCTCTTTTGCTGTTAGACTTCAACATTCATTTTGATTTTAGCATCTAAAAATGGAGAGACATGTATTGTGTGTTACTTCTTCTACTACAAGATTGAATTAATCCCAAAGGTAGCTTTGCACAGTGCAGTTTATTATTCTTGCTTTTTATATGCTGGTAGAAGATTTTCTAAATTTCAATATGCGCAATAAGGGTGTTTCTGGCGCTCATGGTACAGCTTTTTTTTTAAAAACTATTTAGGGATAATTTGACCCATTGACATATGACCCTCATTATCCAGTCATCCAGTTCAGATGTCTGTCAATACTTCCATTTTTTATGTTAGCAAATGTTCAGTGAAGATATGAATAAATACCAACAACGTAATCCAAATAACCAGAATGAAGCATGTTCCCAACTAAGAAATTTGAATTACTCTGCATCTTAATGTTCTTGAATATAATCAAATTGGTTTATGCAGCTTAATTGAGTTCATGACAAATGGAATTAAGAAACTAAACTTCTCACATCTTCTTATTTTCATATTGACGATAATAGTTCATTCACATCTTTTAACGTTAGTGATTATTATTAAATTTATTTCATCAGTTGACAAATACATTCTGAAAATGAAACTATTGTTGTATGATATAGATACAAATCTATAATTGAACACTGTATATTGACCCTCTAGAAGCTTTTTGTCACCCATGCGAAGCCTATTATCTTATTTTGTTAAAATATCACAATTTTTGAGAAACGTCTTTAATGGTAGGGAAAAAAAATTATATACATGAATAGGTATAATAGATTGTTCCAATTTGTTTCTTGATGTCAAATATGGGGTAAAGAGCAAAAAACACAAGTTTTGAGAAAATCTTATTGTGTAAGGAATTCAACAAGAATTGATATATAGGGACATTTATTCCAAATTGTACCCTGATGTAAACATTGTGGTAAAAAAATTTTGTTTAAAGGATTAATTTTGAGAAACATCTTTTTTTGGAAGAATTTCAATGAAAATGTATATGTAGGTATAATTTGATTCTCTGTGCCCACTATTGATGAAAATGCCCACCAAAATACATAAGATCTTGGATTTTAATAAAACTGATATTTATTGAGAACACATCTTGAATTAATTGCTGGTGTAAAGATTTTGAAAATTGACACCCCATGAATCTGAATGGCTTTATAGATGCATTAGTCTCTATTCCTCACAAAAAAATGTTCAATTGGGGCCCTTGCTGACATGTCAGATTTTGATGTTTTTATTGATAAACGTCTTAAAGTAGTTAATAGGACAAAAGCTACAAAATTTTTACTACTTCTAAATTCACACAATAATTTGTAATAAACCTTGAATAGAAAACTGTTTATACATATTTATGCTTTCTTCTTTAGCCCTTTTTAAATGAAAGAATGGCCATGCTGACACAGTCGGTCTTTAGACAGTCTTTGCTGAAAATATTTCTTACAGAAGGTAAGATTATTGCTGTATGTCTATATTTTATTCATACTGGTATAGTTATTTGAGAACATGTTAAATCTCAATGATGTTTTTAACAATATCATATATAGCTCACTAGTGCTAGGATTGTAGTAGCTAATTGGCTTGATTTGTCATTTTAAAGACGGCATGATTTTTGTTGAGCCTGCGACTTTTGACGCAGAAAGCTCGACATTAGGATAGTGATCTGGCGGCAACGGCGCAGCGGCAGTATTAGCTAAATTCTTAAAAGCTTTATATTTTAGAAGGTGGAAAACCTGGATGCTTCATACTTTGTATATAGATGCCTTATGTTTCGAAGTTTCCGTCTGTCACATGTCCATTGTCCTTGAACTCATTTTCATGGTTCAGTGACTACTTGAAAAAAAAGTTAAGATTTTTTGTAATGTTAATTTCTCTCTTATTATGAGTAATAGGATAACTATATTTGGTATGTGCATACCTTACAAGGTCCTCATGCCCGTCAGACAGTTTTCACTTGACCTCGACCTCATTTCATGGATCAGTGAACAAGGTTAAGTTTTGGTGGTCAAGTCCATATCTCAGATACTATAAGCAATATGTCTAGTATATTCAGTGTATGGAAGAACTGGAAGGTGTCATCTGACCTTGACCTCATTTTCATGGTTCAGTGGTTTTAGTTTAGTTTTTGTGTTTTGGTCTGTTTTTCTTATACTGTATGCAATAGGTCTACTATATTTGGTGTATGGAATGATTGTAAGGTGTACATGTCTAGCTGGCAGGTGTCATCTGACCTTGACCTCATTTTCATGGTTCAGTGGTCAAAGTTAAGTTTTTGAGTTTTGGTCTTTTTTTCTAATACTATATGCAATAGGTCTACTATATTTGGTGTATGGAATGATTGTAAGGTGTACATGTCTAGCTGGCAGGTGTCATCTGACCTTGACCTCATTTTCATGGTTCAGTGGTCAAAGTTAAGTTTTTGAGTTTTGGTCTTTTTTTCTAATACTATATGCAATAGGTCTACTATATTTGGTGTATGGAATGATTGTAAGGTGTACATGTCTAGCTGGCAGGTGTCATCTGACCTTGACCTCATTTTCATGGTTCAGTGGTCAAAGTTAAGTTTTTGAGTTTTGGTCTTTTTTTCTAATACTATATGCAATAGGTCAACTATATTTGTTGTATGGAAGGATTGTAAGCTGTACATGTCTGTCTGGCATGGTTCATCTGACCTTGACCTTATTTTCATGGTTCATTGGTCAATGTTTAGTTTTCTTGGTTAAGTCTGTTTCTTAGAAACTATAAGCAATAGGTCAACTACATTTAGTGTATTGAATGATTGTAAGGTGTACTTGTATTTCTTCTTCGGTTTATATGGCCTTGACCTCATTTTCTTGGATCATGTTAAGTTTATGTGATAGTTGTAGTAAAGCTTTATATTTAGGACTATCAACATAATATCAATGATTAGTAAAAAAGGCGAGACATTTCAGCGTGTGCACTCTTGTTCTTTGAGCAGAGATGTCTTGTACTCTGACCTGACTGGGTTTCTTTATGAAGTTTGGGAAGAGTTCCAGTAAGGTGTGGCTACTGGCAAGATACACAAATTTTGTTCCAGAATTGCATAAAAATTTACCAGAATATTATTTTTTGTGTTATTTTATGTGCATGAGGAAATAGTTCCTATATAATTTGAAAACAATTTAGGTCAAATGAATTCATTTATTATGATAATTGTCAAAAGATTTCAACTTGGTAGTATTTAGAAGATGTTATCACTATTTGCAAGATATTTGCATGACATATATAAAGAAACTTGCTTTGTTATAGATGACTCAAGCGCAAGAAAAAGAGATCTTAGTCGTGAATTATATTGTAGTCTTTAATCTGTAAATGTTTAAAATGCACATAGGTCCAGGTGAGCGACACAAGCTCTTTAGAGCCTCTTGTTTTAATGCTATTTTTGAAGATCTGGGCAGTGAAATGATGTCAGTGCATTATGATCAAATAGGTTTTTTAAAATTAAAATTTGTTTGTCATTTGTATACAAAGAAGTATCTATAAAACTTGCTCCAAGATAAAATCTCTTTCAAAAGAATCAATGTAGGTGCATACATTTAAAAGTTTTACTTCATGCCTCATTATCTCTTTAGCATATTTTATTTTGTATATGCATTTAATACTTGTTGCTACATGTTTAGCATTAATTATTTATTTGCTAAAATTCATTTGTATTTAGAATGATCCGACTATATATATATATATATATATATATGGTAAGGGTTTTTATACGACCGCAAAAAAATTTTGTGGTCGTATATTGGTATGACGTTGGCGTCGTCGTCGTCGTCGTCGTCCGGCGTCGTCGTCGTCCGGCGTCGTCGTCCGAATACATATTGGTTTTCGCACTCTAACTTTAGTTTAAGTGAATGGATCTTTTTGAAATTTGACCATAAGGTTAAATACCACAAAAGGAAGGTTGGGATTGATTTTGGGTGTTATGGTACCAACAGTTAAGGAATTAGGGGCCAAAAAGGGGCCAAAAATGAGCATTTTCTAGTTTCCAGACAATAACTGTGGAACGGTGTATGGATCTCTCTGAAATTATACTACAAGTTTCCATACCACAAAGGAATGGTTAGGATTTGCTTTGGGGGGTTATGGCTCAAACCGTTTAGGAATTAGGGGCAAAAAAGGGGGAAAAACAAGGTTGTCCTGGTTAATGGACAAATACTTTAGTATAAAACATAATTTAAAGCAGTGTAAGGGAGATAAATCAAATACATCATTGAAATTATCTCCCTTACACTGCTTTTAAATTATGTATAAAGTAATGGTTAATGAACAATAAAGATAATCCAAAACAGTGTAAGGGAGGTAATCCAAATACAACGTGTTGGTTACTTCCCTTACACTGCTTTTAAATTATGTTTAAAGAAATGCATATTTATAAAGGAAGACCAGTAAAAATATCTGCAAATGTTTTCATCTTTTTTTTTTACAAAAAAATCCATATGAAAGATTTGACACTATATTTTTATTAATTCTATTATAAAATAGATTAAGTTAGCACTATGGTAAATTTAAATGGGTAATTATGGTTGCCAACTCCATTGGAAATTTGAATTGAGATTATGACCATATCTTGAGGGAAAGAATTTTTTGGGGGGAAAAAGGGGGGGGGATAAAAAGAAATTGTCGGGGGGGGGGCCAATTTTTTCTCATTTCATATTTCAGAAATTAAAAAGAATTATTCTTCAAATATTATTTTTTTTTCAAATTTCAAATATTGAAAAATTTCAAGAAGTAATCTTTAATTGCACAGTATGGCGCATTAGATTTGTAAAATCTTTGATCACATTTATTTATTTGTTATGCCGAATCTAACAGTGTATTTAGATTTTTAATTTTGGGTCCAGTTTTCAAATTGGTCTACATTAATGTCCAAATGGTCCAAAATTAAACTTTGTTTGATTTTAGCAAAAATTGAATATATGAGGTTCTTTGATATGCTGAATCTAAACATGTATTTAGATTTTTGATTTTTGGCCCAGTTTTCAAGTTGGTCCAAATTGGGGTCCAAAATTAAACTTTGTTTGATTTCAACAAAAATTGAATATATGGGGTTCTTTGATATGCTGAATCTAACCATGTATTTAGATTTTTTATTTGTGGACCCCGTTATCTAATTGGTTCATATTGAGGTCAAAAGGGTCCAAAATTAAACTTTGTTTGATTTCATCTAAAATTGAATTATTGGGGTTCTTTGATATTCCAAATCTAACCGTGTATTTAGGTTTTTAATTTTGGGTCCTGTTTTTTAAATTGGTCTACATTGAGGTCCAAAGGGTCCAAAATTAAACTTAGTTTGATTTTAACAAAAATTGAATTCTTGGGGTTCTTTGATTTGCTGAATCTAAACATGTGTTTAGATTTTTTATTGTGGGCCCAGTTTTCAAGTTTGTCCAAGATAGGGTCCAGTATTTAAACTTTGTTTGATTTCAACAAAAATTGAATGTATGGGGTTCTTTGATATGCTGAATCTAAACATGTATTTAGATTTTTGATTATGGGCCCAGTTTTCAAGTTGGTCCAAATTGGGGTCCAAAATTAAACTTTGTTTGATTTCAACAAAAATTGAATATATGAGGTTCTTTGATATGCTGAATCTAACCATGTATTTAGATTTTTTATTTGTAGGCCCCGCTATCAAATTGGTTCATATTGAGGTCAAAAGGGTCCAAAATTAAACTTTGTTTGATTTCATCGAAAATTGAATTATTGGGGTTCTTTGATATGCCAAATCTAACCGTGTTTTTAGATTTTTAATTTGGGTCCCGTTTTTTAAATTGGTCTTCATTGAGGTCCAAAGGGTCTAAAATTAAACTTAGTTTGATTTTAACAAAAATTGAATTCTTGGGGTTCTTTGATATGCTGAATCTAAAAATGTGTTTAGATTTTTGATTATGGGCCCAGTTTTCAAGTTGGTCCAAGTTGGGGTCCAAAATTAAACTTTTTTTGATTTCAACAAAAATTGAATATATGGGGTTCTTTGATATGCTGAATCTAACCATGTATTTAGAATTTTTATTTGTGGGCCCCGCTATCAAATTGGTTCATATTGAGGTCAAAAGGGTCCAAAATTAAACTTTGTTTGATTTCATCAAAAATTGAATTATTGGGGTTCTTTGATATTCCAAATCTAACCGTGTATTTAGATTTTTAATTTTAAGTCCCGTTTTTTAAATTGGTCTACATTAAGGTCCAAAGGGTCCAAAATTAAACTTAGTTTGATTTTAGCAAAAATTGAATTCTTGGGGTTCTTTGATATGCTGAATCTAAACATGTGTTTAGATTTTTGATTATGGGCCCAGTTTTCAAGTTTAGTTGGGGTCCAAAATTAAACTTTGTTTGATTTTAACAAAAATTGAATATATGGGGTTCTTTGATATGCTGAATCTAACCATGTATTTTGATTTTGGACATTGGACCATAATAGGTAAATTAAAAAAATTCAAGTTCTTAGACCACATTCTTTCTGTGTCAGAAACCTATGCTGTGTCAAATATTTAATAACAATCCAAATTCAGAGCTGTATCAAGCTTGAATGTTGTGTCCATACTTGCCCCAACTGTTCAGGGTTCGACCTCTGCGGTCGTATCAAGCTGCGCCCCAGCGAAGCATTTTATTCTCATTGTTGAAGGCCGTACGGTTGCCTATAATTGCTTACATCCACTTGATTTGAACTTTGGTGGATAGTTGTCTTATTGGCAATCATACTACATCTCCTTATTTTTATATTGGTAGCTCTTTCAACAAAGCTTAATAGGTTGAAATTGATACTTTCTTTTTAATTTATAAAGCTGTTTGTTAAAAGTCCAGTTTACAAAAGGATGAAGAAAAAGTGTGTTTAAGAACAAAAATTTCTCAAATTTAAACTATTTGTATGTTGTTGTTTTTCACAATGCCAATGATTTGAATGTCCAATTAAGACAATTATAGGTCACTAAAAGGCCTTCAACAGTAAGTAACACCCTTACAGTATAGTCTGATATAAATTAAAAGTCTCCAACATGACAAAATGTGAAAAAAATTCAAACGAAAAAACAGATATAACCAACTGCAACCACCATTATAAAGCTGTTATTGATGTTAATTGTCAATGAATTTGTTTTGTAGGAGAAAAGTATGTTATGACGATATTTGGAGTTCTCAGTTTAGCAGACCAAGGTATGTAGTGTAAAAACCTTAATTTTTACAGATAAGTTAATAATAATTTGATGAGACATCTTGCCCATAAACTCTCTGGAAATCATTTACCTTGAAAATCTCATTTCTGCTGAGAGAGGGTGGTATGCTGCATTTTTCTTGTTAGTCAGTACATTATTTCTGTATCACACTACTCAGCTTGTGTATTTTATACCCATCTCACAGATTGGGTGGTATGCTGCATTGTGCTTGTTAGTTAGTACATTATTTCTGTATCACACTACTCAGCTTGTGTATTTTATACCCAACTCACAGATTGGTTGGTATGCTGCATTGTGCTTGTTAGTTAGTACATTATTTCTGTTACATATTACTCATCTTGTGTATTTTATACCCAACTCACAGATTGGGTGGTATGCTGCATTGTGCTTGTTAGTTAGTACAGTATTTCTGTTACATATTACTCATCTTGTGTATTTTATACCCAACTCACAGATTGGGTGGTATGCTGCATTGTGCTTGTTAGTTAGTACATTATTTCTGTTACATATTACTCAGCTTGTGTATTTTATACCCAACTCACAGATTGGGTGGTATGCTGCATTGTGCTTGTTAGTTAGTACATTATTTCTGTTACATATTACTCAGCTTGTGTATTTTGTACCCAACTCACAGATTGGGTGGTATGATGCATTGTGCTTGTTAGTTAGTACATTATTTCTGTATCACACTACTCAGCTTGTGTATTTTATACCCAACTCACAGATTGGGTGGTATGCTGCATTGTGCTTGTTAGTTAGTACATATTTTCTGTTACATATTACTCAGCTTGTGTATTTTATACCCAACTCACAGATTGGGTGGTATGCTGCATTGTGCTTGTTAGTTAGTACATTATTTCTGTTACATATTACTCAGCTTGTGTATTTTATACCCAACTCACAGATTGGGTGGTATGCTGCATTGTGCTTGTTAGTTAGTACATTATTTCTGTTACATATTACTCATCTTGTGTATTTTATACCCAACTCACAGATTGGGTGGTATGCTGCATTGTGCTTGTTAGTTAGTGCATTATTTCTGTTACATATTACTCAGCTTGTGTATTTTATACCCAACTCACAGATTGGGTGGTATGCTGCATTGTGCTTGTTAGTTAGTACATTATTTCTGTTACATATTACTCAGCTTGTGTATTTTGTACCCAACTCACAGATTGGGTGGTATGCTGCATTGTGCTTGTTAGTTAGTACATTATTTCTGTTACATATTACTCAGCTTGTGTATTTTATACCCAACTCACAGATTGGGTGGTATGCTGCATTGTGCTTGTTAGTTAGTACATTATTTCTGTTACATATTACTCATCTTGTGTATTTTATACCCAACTCACAGATTGGGTGGTATGCTGCATTGCTCACTTCAGTCTTTTTTTTCCCAGCGTGTGATTCCAATTATATATTACTCACCAAATTGATAGTGATGAGTTTTAGCATGTTAGTGCTTTTTGAATCTGTCAAACACTTACTTCCTGTTTTCTGATACTTTGAATTAGGAATTGTGGGAATGTTTAGCACTACAACATGTGCATTCTCCATGTTCTTGTTTTGTTGGTTTAACCATGTGTTCTATGTTTCATAGGCCTAGATATGGTTGAAATTCAGAAGATTTTGTCAACTTTAACCAAAATCTCTATTTTTAACCTTTTTGGAGTGTAAATGTCAACACTTTGTAAGAATAGTTCAAAAAAAAATCTGTCTATTTCTTTTTGCATCAACTTTTAAAATAGGCAAATCGTATGTAATTGGGCAGTATTTCGGATTTTGATGAAATTTTGTATGATTAAGAATTTGTTGAACTGCATCTGAACATAAAAAAAGGATGTATGTATCATTTGTACCAAATTACATATACTTCGCCTAAAAATAGTTTTCATCTTGAAATAAAAGACCTAATTATGGGGAAAACAAATAGCCTTTTCTTAACTAAGTCCAAAGCAAACTATGAATATAACTTTCTTCATATGTCATATTTTTTTTCTTTAAGATACAAATGTAAAGTTATAATAAGGAAAATTGTTATTCCTCTAAAAATTATAATGATCTTGAAATAATAAAACTTTTATTTTTCCTTACAGGTGCTTACGGTACAGTTTAAAGGTGTTTATTATTGAATTGTTAACATTTAAATTTACATTACAGGTGTGTATGGCATTGTTAACAATTTAGGGTCCATGATTCCAAGATTTGTTTTTCAACCAGTTGAAGAAAGTGGGAGAGTCTTTTTTTCCCAGTTACTGCTCAGAGGAAAGAAATTTTTTGAGCAACCAAAAGTAAGCATAAATTATATTTATAGATCTTAACCACTTTATTAACTAAGTTGCCCAAATTCTTATTTTTAACTCACCTGACCCAAAGGACCAAGTGAGCTTTTCTCATCACTTGGCGTCCGTCGTCGTCTGTTAACTTTTACAACAATCTTCTCCTCTGAAACTAATGGGCCAAATTTAACCAAACTTGGCCATAATCATTATTGGGGTATCTAGTTTAAAAAATGTGTCCGATGACCCCACCCAGCCTGCCAACCAAGATGGTCGACATGGCTAAAAATAGACCATAGGAGTAAAATGCAGGTTTTGTCTATTATTTTGACAAACGATATGAATAGAGAAAATCTGACTGCATAAGAAATGTTCAGAATGTTGAGCTCTACCAATCGTCCATATACGTCAAAACTGTCAGACGACTCCTTATAGGAGTTATTGTCCTTAAAAATTACAAATTTTACCTTTTTTTTTCATTTTTGCCTATTATCTTGAAAACTATAATAGATAGAGAGAAACTTTGAATTGCAAAAATGATCAGCAAGACAAGTTCTACTAATAAGTCTTGATGGTCGAAATCGTCAGTCCACTTCATATATATGAGAGTTATTGCCCTTTGATGACGATTTTCACCAATTTTTTGCGTTTTTGTCTTGTATCTTAAAAATTATAATAGATAGATAGAATCTTAAATAAGCAAAAATGATCAGCAAAACAAGATCTAAAATTAGACTAGACTAGATGGAGGGAATGGTCCGACCATTCTTATATGCTAAAAATTATAATAGATAAATAGACACTTTAAATCACAAAAATGATCAGCAAGGCAAGATCTACTAACGAGTCAAATTTTGCCGATATAGTTAGTAGACTGTCACTCTTAATAGGAGTGATTACCCTTAAGTGAGGATTTTTTATGCCCCACCTAGGGGCATTATGTTTTTAGGTCTGTGCATCCATTCGTCCGTCTGTCTGTTCCTCCGTCTGTCCCGCTTCAGGTCAAAGTTTTTGGTCGCTTCAGGTTTAAGTTTTTGGTCAAGGTAGTTTTTGATGAAGTTGAAGTCCAATCAACTTGAAACTTAGTACTCATGTTCCCTATGATATGATCTTTCTAATTTTAATGCCAAATTAGAGTTTTGAGTGGGGCATCAGTGTAGTATGGACACATTCTTGTTTACCCTCTTTTGTGTTTTGAGCAAAAACTAAAGAAGATAGAGAGAAACTAAACAGACTAAATGATCAGCAAGACAAGATCAACAAAACAGAGATTTTTGTCATGAATTCTATTCTCGTCTACAATGTTGGAGAGTGTCCTTTGTTGAATATGCACATAGACCAAGGTGAGTGACACAGGCTCTTTAGAGCCTCTAGTTTATCAAGTGCTGAATATTGGCTGAAAAATAAAAATTGTATTGCTTTAAGTGTCATATTTTTAAAATCCTCCTCATATTGTATGAAAACAGCAATCAATCAATTTTATAGAGTAATGAATAAATCACTAGAGTTATGGTGTGATTTACAACAAACTTATTTTGAAAACATTGTAAAAATCATGAACTAAATGCTAATAAGACATAAGTAAAATTGAATATATATATGATATCTTCTTACTAAATGCTAGCACATTATGATAAGAAATGTGTTTTATACACTGGAAGAAATTAGACCAAACAAACTTGTAAACTCCTAGAATTAATACCTGTGTCTTATTTAAGAATTGAAGATTGATCATGAACAGTTGACAGTTAATGTTAGGACTTTAGGTTTTTTTTTAAAAACATTTTACATCACTCCAAAATTTTAACAGACACAATTTATATAGGAATTAAACCGAGACATGTATTTTTTTGTTTAAATTGTATATTTGTTTGCATATCTTGCATGGTATATAACTCTTGACACCAAAAGGGTATGTCTTCCTGTTTATCTTGTGGAACCTAATAAATATCTGATGATAAGTAGAGGGAAAAAGGATGGTGAAAACTAGAAAAAAAAAGAATGGTCAGTGGTAATTTGTAATATCAAAAATGATTTGACAACAGCCTTCTAATGGCAACCATATACTGAAATTTAGGTCTCAAAATAAAAATAAGGAGATGTGGTATGATTGCCAATGAGACAACTATCCACCAAAGTTCAAATGAAGTGGATCTAAGCAATTATAGGCAACTGTACAGCCTTCAACAACGAGAAAAACCCATACTGTATAGTCGGCTATAAAAGGCCCCGACATGAAAAATATTAAACAATTCAATAAAAACATAACTTTAAATTCCAGTCAGTAATTGACTTGATCTATTCCAGGATGAAGCTGTTTTAGCCTATCAAGTATTGAAGCATCTACTAAGAGCGATGTTAATGATCGGCAGTATAATATTAGTTTTTGGAAATAACTATGCCTTCCTGTTACTTGATTTATATGGAGGAGAACATATATCTGAAGGTTCAGGTAATGAAAAGTAATATGGTAAGGTTCTGATAATTCTACACTCCTCCTGCAACTGTTGTATTGGTTTCAAATTAAGTTTTATGATTTGTTTATAGATATTTGCATAGGCTCTATTCTTATTTAAATACTTTTTTTTTGGTATGGCTATTGCTCAAATTTAAATTTACCAAAAAAATATGTGTAAAATAGCCATTTTATTTTTTATCAAATGGATCAATTACAACATTTTATGATCACAAATGACATTTGCACACTAACGAGACTACACTTTATCAGCCTAGCAATAGGTTTATTATGACATTTTTATGATATCTATGTAACATCACACTTGACATTTGTGCACAAATGAGACCATACTTTATCAACCTATTAATCAATGAAACTTACACCTTTTAAAAGAAATATAATTAATCAATTTCAGTGTGAGTTATTGTTTTTTTTTTCTTGTCCCCTAGTTTGGCCAAAGGATAGTTAATTAATTTATATCATAATTAAATTTTAACACTGAGGGTGAGCCAAACTTGCTAAGGTTATAAGCAATACAATATAATACAATACAAAATTGAGTATTTTGCTAAAAGTAGACCTATTATTAATACTATTTACCAGGTTTATAGCTGAGGTTTATAGCTGACTAAATGCTGTGGGTTTTCTCATAGTTGAAGGCTGTAAGGTGACCTATAATCCTTATATCCAAGTCAATTGAGTTCTGGTGGAAAGTTGTATCATTGGCAATGATACCACATCTTACTTTTATATTAAGATTTTTTTCTTTAGTTAAAAAATAACTTTGCTGTTTTAAGTGTTCTCAAGAATTTCTGTGCATGTTTCAGTCACTTATAAAAAAAATTCCCCCATTTTATGGCCAAATATATTGAAGTAGTTATGTGTATATGTGTTAATTTTGTTTTTGATTTTAGGGCCATATATATTGAAGTGGTTTTGTGTATATGTGTTAATCTTAGCTATTAATGGAATAATGGAATGCTTCCACTTTGCATTAATGAATATAGCAGAAACAGATAGGTAACTATATAATTATGTAACAAAATTGTGTAAAATTGTTTATGAATAAAAGGAATTATCGGGACAACATGAATAAAACAGCGAGCCAGCAATTTAATTCAACCATGAAATATACATCTAGATCAAGATGTCACCATTCAGTCTTCAATAATGGACTAACAATCACTTGACTTGTATAGAAAACATTTTGCTCATTGTTGAAGGCTGTACTTTGACTTATAATTGACTTTCTTGTCCTTTGGTCTCTGGTGGATAGTTGTGTCATTGGCAATCATAACGCATCAATTTATTTGTATTTTTTCTAAGGAAAAAAAATCATTTAGTTCAAAATTATGTTTTTTTTTATTTATGTTATATTTTACACAGTATGACTGACCTGTATCGTTTTGTTAAAACCCAACACACTCTACTGTTTGCTTGAAGAGGGTATCTGGAAGTCAGTATGGTTTTCAATACCACTAATTAAGGAAGGTTGGGATTGTTTTTGGGGGTGATGGTCCCAACCGTTTAGGAATTAGGGCCAAAAAGGGGCCCAAAACGAGCATTTTTCTAGTTTCATGACAATAACTTGTGTATAAGTATTTTGATTGCTCTGAAATTGTACCACAAGGTTCAATACAAAAAGTAGAAGGTTGGGATTCATTTTGGGGGTAATTGCCTAACTGTTCAGGAATTAGGGGCCAAAACAAGCATTTTTTTAGTTTTCAGACAATAATTTGTGTTTAAGTGTATGGATGTCTCTTAAATTGTACCACATTTTACAAATATCTCTTCAAATATTTTTTTTTGGGGGAGGGGGGGTGTAATATTTTATATTAATATTTAATTACAATCCAAATTCAGACCTGTATCAAGCTTGAATATTGTGTCCATTTTTGCCCAACTGTTCAGGGTTGGACCTCTGCGGTCGTATCCAGCTGTGCTCGGCAAAGCAGTTTATTTGGGTTTTTTTTTGCTCCTAATTAAAAATATTTGAATTGACCAAAGTTCTGTTTTTCATTTAGGCGTAGTGCTTCAACCTTTCTGAGGAAAGACATTTTGATTTTGTTCTGATTTTTTTTTCTTCATCACCATTTGCTTCTAAAATGTTGCTTTTGTCTCGCAACATGTTGATAAGATATTTGGTTAATGACATTGAACAGTTATTATGCTTTTGAAACTCATCCTTTTTAACAGAACATTTTTCTATATGGGAGTATCCATTTTAACAGAACACTCCCAGCATACTGTTTTTCTTGTTATCACTTCTTCTCAAGAACCATAAAAAATATCACTTAAAATTTCTTTCTCCCAAATATTGTTACATCCTCATAGTCATGATAGTGTTCTTTTCAGTTTGACCAAAGCTATTAGGTAACATGTATTAAGAGTTAATTCCCTTTTTGTTTTTGACATAAATGGTATGTTGGTGTAACTCATTAACCTTATGTCATAGAGACCTACAGTCTTTTGATATCAGGTCCTAGTTTTATTTATCAGGAAACTGAGGTCATGAGGTCCTTGTTTTATTTATCAGGAAACTGAGGTCATTGTTATATTCTAAATTTTGAATTTTGCTTGTTATCCCAATTCCTGAGAAACTGAAAAAGTTATTACCATAAGGTTTACTGTAATCAACTGTTACATTGTCCTAACCCCCCTTTTTGCCACGGGAATTTAGGAAAAAACTTTGTTTACTTATTGAAAATGTCTAGTGAATCTGCTGTAATTTCAAATCGAGTGTGATCATTTTTGGTATTTTCAAGGAAAAATCTGTATTCAATCATCAAGTAGAAGTTGCAAATGCATGTAAATGATTCTAGAACACTCAACAAGTGTTAAGATCAGCCTAAATCACATAAAAATCAATAAGAATAGTTGTGTTAGACATTTGCCTGAAATAGGAATAGAATGTGTAAATTCCAAACAAATATGGTGAGAGTGTGGAAAATACGTACTTAATAAGTATCTCTAAGGATACCACTTTGAAAGTAAAACAGTTTTGTTCTTAAGTAAAATACTCTTCAAAGATCATCACATTAATGTTTGAAGGACCTTTACCTTAAACAAAACACATGCAGCCAGAGTAAACACCAAACGGAACGAATAACCAATTACGTTTTGTAAATTGTTAAGTGTCATCTGGTTCTCGGCTGACTTCTTCAGGTGTTTTCCAGTTTACGTTATGCAATGCTATGAAAAGAAATGAGAAATTTGTAATGAAGCATACTATTTTGATAAAATTATCAGTTAATGTTGGATTTTTGAATAAAAACTGCATATTGATATGGAATAGGTAAATTATAAGTTTTGAAAAGAAGTAAGGGTGCCATCTATAATTTCAATAACAAACATGGTGGAGAGTTAAAAAAACATCATGAAATCCAGTTTTTCTCCATTTCTTGCTAATAATCCTCTATAATCTGTTCCCCGAATTGGCAATTTTAATTTGAGAGTAAAAAAACTGTGGACTATACAAGACCGAATTCGGTATGTCAAATTGTAAGTTACAACTTTATGCAACGTCAATTTATTTGTGTTGAAGTGATGACTTTTTATAGTTTTCTCCACTTCAATATTCAAAATAAGCTGTTTATATAAGCTGTTTTGTAGAATAACTTCTTAACCACACATATTGGAGACTATTACCATTTATGAGGAGTAGTAATATCAAGCAAAACTACTTGGCCAATTTTAAACAAACTTGGTAGGAATTATTTATTGATGGTCCTTGATTTAAAAAAAATCCCCTTTTCATTCTGATCATAAGAAAAACATGAGCCGCTAGAAAGGATCTCATAATCTGATTGAATAATTTTCATTTAGAGGATTGGTGATTGACCCTTGACAAATGATCCTCATTAAATATTGATAAGTTGGCGGACATGTTGGCATTTGCACATAGTTCTCATTGAAACCATATGGAAAATAACCTTATAATCTTCTCAAACCACTTGGCCGGACATGGCAGAAATGTTGTCTGGAAGGTCGTCTTCAAATGATCCTGATTGGGATTTGATAAAATGTAAAGCATGGCAGTCAAATGCAATCAGGTCAACCAGGTCATAGTAAAATCAAACTTCTTGTTCACAATGTTTATAGAGCATTCAGCTGCTAGTCTCTGAAATGTATTATATCTCAAGTAACTGTGTCAGAAATAAATTGTTATTACAACTTTAATTTTTTTCAGCTACAATAAGAAGATGCTGTTATTTTCTGTAGTGTCCCTCGTTTCCACTCTACTTATTCCACAATACTTTGGAGGAGCAGGATTTATCATAGCAAATATTCTCACCATGTGTACACGTATTTTCTACAGGTATATTGATCTAGATTTATTGCAGCATATATTTTTTTTGTAGAAGAGTTTATGAGAGAAAAAATGTCCAATCTGTCTTAAATCTCTTTTTTCGCTTTTCATAATAGTCAATTAGTCTGTGAAAGAGTTCGGGTTTGGTTAAAAATTGGTTGTCACTGTTCTCTGACAAATTTCTCAACAACTGTGTATATCAATGATTTATGATTTGGCATACAGTGTGGTACTGGTTAAAAACTACATAGTATTGTGTAATGCATTTTCTATTGGCTTGCATGTTTTGAAAAATCATATTTGAAATTTTTGAAAGAAATTTGAAGCAACTTTGTATCATATTGATTTTGAATTATACACTTTTTGTTACTGATTTATAAGTGACTATGCATAAAAAATTACTTTCTGGTTCAGGTAAATGATTAAGAAGGTAGAATTGTCTCCCTTAGTCATTCAGATTTTTTAAAACTGTAATGTTTTTATAAGTAAGAAAGTCCTATTTTCTCCATTTTTTGAAAATCTCCTGACTACATTGCTCTAATAGAGTGTTTAATTGTATGTCTTTAAGTGCCAGTCTTTGTAAGAATCAGGCAATTTAGAAAAATTTCAAAACATGGCCGAAAAAAACCCACCGACCAATCTACCCTATTTTGAAGTAACCCTCATCCTGAGTTAGAAATGGTAGGTCTTTTGTTTCTGCTGTTCTGGTAATTCAAGAAATCTCTAGATAACCTTTGGTTAGAATGATAGCAAATTACAGAGTTATCTCCCTTTAATTGTTAATTTCTAGTGCATTTCAACCAAATTATATCTTGAGTTACCAGAGCAGGAAGAGGAAACAAATGTTATATTCGTGCACCATGATACAATTTGAACATAAATTAATGTCAACTTGAGTGGGTTTTTTTTGTCATGTGTTCACCACTGCCTGATTCTTAGGCAGATTGTCACTTAATATATAGTTGTCCTTAGGATCCTTGAATGTACAATTTCACGGACAATGAAAATCTCTTTTGTCTGTTATTTTCAAAATACTATCTATTTACAAGCCTCATTTGATATTTATGTACAAAACTATTTTGTATCATTTCAGTACTCTAATATTAATTAGTTGATTGATTTTTGGTGTTTTAAAGCCACTTTCAGCACTATTGGCTATTTGGTTGCTGCCAGTTTTTATTTTGTTGAACTACTTAGACGGCTCTGCCACCGAGGCCCCCTAATATTAATGCACTTTCAGTGAATGTCATTATCAGATTATAGTATCAAAAAGTTTAAAATAAGTTTATAGTACCACACAATTGAAGTGCAAAACTTATTCTTCAAATATTCAGTACAAATCAAGTACTGAAAAATTATGTTACTAAAATGGTGTAATATTTTGAAACTACTACATCAGTACTAAATTATATAGGTAAGTATTCAATACTTTAAAGTTGAAGAGATAAAAAGTACCCATGCAAAAGTAGCTGTGTAGAACAGGAATTTCTATAGCCTAACATATATTACATCATTCTATGTTTTTGTTTACAGTTTTGAATATATACTATTTGCTAGTCAAAAGATATAATTTACCCACAAATTAAGAAGAAAAATTATGATTTGATAACAATTTCTTCTTTTCCAGTTTGCTGTTTATCAGAGAATTTTATCATGGAACAGAATATAAGCCTTTGAAAGCACTGATACCTTCTATACCCTTTTGTATATCTCTCATCATTTCATCTTTAATAATGAAATTGTCGGAGGTAAGAATATCTTCTCTTTACTTCAACATTATTATTGAAAAAAGTCCTTCAAACAGAAAGTTGAAAACAGCATGACTAGAATTAATGTTTTTAAATTTCTTAAAAATAGACTTGTGAGGATGCTACTATATATTTATGTGCATTTAATGTTTTTTTTTATTTAAAAGTCTTATCACATGTTTTATAGTCAGATGATTTAGTTGATGTACTGTAGATTTAGTATTATTTGTGGGATACTTAGTTTCATGGATTTCTTGGGTATATGTAAACCGAAAATTTAAACAAAGTATAAATTTTCTACAGGCCTGTATGCAGACTTTTGCAAAACTACCAAATCTGATATCCTGAAAATGTCATTTTTCTTAAATTCACAAAAATTGGTATCCATGAAAATAATTAAATCCCCAGTAAATAAGATTAGATTCTATCCAAGGAGAGATAACAGTGGAATATGATGAAATGATAACTACTTGTATAAAAACTCATTCAAATATATAATTAAATCTAATTTCTGAAAGTTTTGAGGTCTGGTTTATATTTCTAAGCTAAATATTTTACATTGAGATGTGGAAGATACCCCTTTTTATACGACAGCAAAAAAAATTTGTGGTCGTATATTGGTATGACGTTGGTTTCGTCATCGTTGTCGTCGTCGTCGTCCGAAGACACATTGGTTTTCGCACTCATACTTTAGTTTAAGTGAATGGATCTTTATGAAATTCTACCATAAGGTTCAATACCACAAAAGGAAGATTGGGATTGAGTTTGGGGGTTATGGTACCAACAGTTAAGGAATTAGGGGCCAAAAAGGGGCCAAAAATAAGCATTTTTGTAACTTCCAGACATAACTTGTGTGTTAGTTTATGGATCTCTCTGACATTGTACCACAGGGTTCCATATCACAAAGGGAAGGCTGGGATTGATTTTGGGGGTAATTGCCTCAAACTTTTGGGAATGAGGGGCCAAAAAAGGGAAAAAAAACAAGCATTTTTCTAGTTTCCAGACAATAACTTGTGTGTAAGTGTATAGATCTTTCTGAATTTATACTACAAGGTTCCATATCACAAAGGAAAAGCTTGAATTGAATTTGGGGGGAAATGCCTAAAACGTTTAGGAATAAGGGGCCAAAAAGGGGCAAAAAATAAGCATTTTTCTAGTTTCCAGACAATAACTTGTGTTCAAGTGTATGGATCTCTCTGAAATTGTACTGCAAGGTACCATACTACAAAGGGAAGGCTGGGATTGATTTTGGGGGGTAATTGCTTCAAAATTTTAGGAATAAGGGGCCAAAAAGGGGCAAAAATCAAGCATTTTTCTAGTTTCAGGACAATAAATTGTGTGTAAGTGTATGGATCTTTATGAAATTGTACTACAAGGTTCCATATCACAAAGGGAAGGCTGGGATTGATTTTGGGGTAATTGCCTCAAACTTTTGGGAATTAGGGGCCAAAAAAGGGAAAAAAAACAAGCATTTTTCTAGTTTCCAGACAATAACTTGTGTGTAAGTGTATAGATCTTTCTGAAATTGTACTACAAGGTTCCATATCACAAAGGAAAAGCTTGAATTGAGTTTGGGGGGAAATGCCTAAAACGTTTAGGAATAAGGGGCCAAAAAGGGGCAAAAAATAAGCATTTTTCTAGTTTCCAGACAATAACTTGTGTTCAAGTGTATGGATCTCTCTTAAATTGTACTGCAAGGTACCATACTACAAAGGGAAGGCTGGGATTGATTTTGGGGGGTAATTGCTTCAAAATTTTAGGAATTAGGGGCCAAAAAGGGGCACAAAACAAGCATTTCTCTAGTTTCAGGACAATAAATTGTGTGTAAGTGTATGGATCTTTATGAAATTGTACTACAAGGTTCCATATCACAAAGGGAAGGCTGGGATTGATTTTGGGGGAAATTGCCTCAAACTTTTGGGAATTAGGGGCCAAAAAAGGGAAAAAAAACGCATTTTTCTAGTTTCCAGACAATAACTTGTGTGTAAGTGTATAGATCTTCTGAAATTGTACTACAAGTTTCCATATCACAAAGGAAAAGCTTGAATTGAGTTTGGGGGGAAATGCCTAAAACGTTTAGGAATAAGGGGCCAAAAAGGGGCAAAAAATAAGCATTTTTCTAGTTTCCAGACAATAACTTGTGTTCAAGTGTATGGATCTCTCTTAAATTGTACTGCAAGGTACCATACTACAAAGGGAAGGCTGGGATTGATTTTGGGGGGTAATTGCTTCAAAATTTTAGGAATTAGGGGCCAAAAAGGGGCAAAAATCAAGCATTTTTCTAGTTTCAGGACAATAAATTGTGTGTAAGTGTATGGATCTTTATGAAATTGTATTACAAGGTTCCATATCACAAAGGGAAGGCTGGGATTGATTTTGGGGGTAATTGCCTCAAACTTTTGGGAATTAGGGGCCAAAAAAGGGAAAAAAAACAAGCATTTTTCTAGTTTCCAGACAATAACTTGTGTGTAAGTGTATAGATCTTTCTGAAATTGTACTACAAGGTTCCATATCACAAAGGAAAAGCTTGAATTGAGTTTGGGGGGAAATGCCTAAAACGTTTAGGAATAAGGGGCCAAAAAGGGGCAAAAAATAAGCATTTTTATAGTTTCCAGACAATAACTTGTGTTCAAGTGTATGGATCTCTCTGAAATTGTACTGCAAGGTACCATACTACAAAGGGAAGGCTGGGATTGATTTTGGGGGGTAATTGCTTCAAAATTTTAGGAATTAGGGGCCAAAAAGGGGCAAAAATCAAGCATTTTTCTAGTTTCAGGACAATCAATTGTGTGTAAGTGTATGGATCTTTATGAAATTGTACTACAAGGTTCCATATTACAAAGGGAACGCTGGGATTGATTTTGAGGGTAATTGCCTCAAAGTTATAGGAATTAGGGGCCAAAAAGGGGCAAAAAACAAGCATTTTTCTAGTTTCATGACAATAACTTGTGTGTAAGTGTATGGATCTTTCTGAAACTGTACTACAAGGTTCCATATCACAAAGGGAAAGCTGGAATTGAGTTTTGGGGTAATTGCCCAAAACGTTTAGGAATAAGGGGCCAAAAAGGGCCAAAAATAAGCATTTTTCTAGTTTCCAGACATAACTTGTGTTCAAGTTTATGGATCTCTCTGAAATTGTACTACAAGGTACCATACCACAAAGGGAAGTCTGGGATTGATTTTGGGGGTAATTTTCTCAAAATTTTAGGAATTAGGGGCCAAAAAGGGGAAAAAATCAAGCATTTTTCTAGTTTCAGGACAATAACTTGTGTGTGAGTGTATGGATCTTTATGAAATTGTACTACAAGGTTCCATATCACAAAGGGAAAGCTGGGTTTGAGTTTGGGGGTAATTGCCCTAAACGCTTAGGAATTTGGGGCCAAAAAGGGGCAAAAATACAAGCATTTTTCTAGTTTCCAGACAATAACTTGTGTTCAAGTGTATGGATCTCTCTGAAATTGTACTGCAAGGTACCATACCATAAAGGGAAGGCTTAGATTGAGTTTGGGGGTGATGAATCATAAGGGGGTTCAAAAAATTTGGGTGGGAGGGATTTTTTTTCCCCTTTTATTTTCTTTAAAATTTTTCATTTTAAATTGGTTAATTCTGATTTATATGTAAAAGCAAATAATAATGATATGGTTTGAATAGGTCAATTAATAATTTATAAGTTCTTAGACCACATTCATTCTGTGTCAGAAACCTATGCTGTGTCAAATATTTAATCACAATCCAAATTCAGTGTGTATCAAGCTTGAATGTTGTGTCCATACTTGCCCCAACTGTTCAGGGTTCGACCTCTGCGGTCGTATCAAGCTGCGCCCAGCGGAGCATTTTATTTCAAATGTGGAAACTAGAAAGTGTTTCTTTGGCGAAAGGCAATCATAATCTATTCTTATCACTTGAAATTTTAAAAAAATGGTAGTGAAAAAGCTATAGAAAAGACTTTTGAAAAAAAATGCCAAAATTTCAGAAACAAGAAATTCCTAATTTCTTTATTTTTTTCTATTATAAACATACAATGTATAATTTAATTTGCTTTATTTCAGAGTTTTTTCTGTTGTGATCAAGGACTGTTATTCAGATTAGTACACATAGGAATTGGTGGTCTAAGTCTACTATCAGTTATAGGTGTTATCTACTTTACAGAGACAGATTTATCAGACTTTGTTCTAAAGCATTATAGAAAAACAAAATCAGAAAAGAGGGAGGCAGAAGAAGATAAAAAGAGGGAAGAAGATAAAAAAATGGAATAACTTTGTTCGTATTTTCATGTAGTTATATTGTATTAACTTTTTCTAATTTATTGAATTGCATTTAAATAGAAAATAGTATTATAATTTTTGCTGAAGTCTTTGTATAAATATTTTGGAGTTTTTATACGACCGCAAAAATTAAAAATTTTTTGGTCGTATATTGGTATCACGTCGTCGTCGTCAGCGTCATCCGAAGACCGATGATTTCCGGATAATAACTTTAGTATAAGTAAATAGAATTCAATGAAATTTTAACACAAGGTTTATAACCACAAAAGGAAGGTTGGGATTGATTTTGGGGGTTTTGGTCCAAACTGTTTAGGAATTAGGGGCCAAAAAGGGGCACAAATAAGCATTTTTCTTGGTTTTCGCACAATAACTTTAGTATAAGTAAATAGAAATCTACGAAATTTAAACACAAGGTTTATGACCACAAAAGGAAGTTTGGGATTGATTTTGGGAGTTTTGGTCCCAACAGTTTAGGAATTAGGGGCCAAAAGGGTCCAAAATTAAACTTTGTTTGATTTCATCAAAAATTTGAATTATTGGGGTTCTTTGATATGCCGAATCTAACCGTGTATTTAGATTCTTAATTTTTGTTCCCATTTTCAAATTGGTCTAAATTAAGGTCCAAAGGGTCTAAAATTAAACTTAGTTTGATTTTAACAAAAATTGAATTCTTGGGGTTCTTTGATATGCCGAATCTAACAGTGTATTTAGATTCTTAAATTTTGGTCCCGTTTTCAAATTGGTCTACATTAAGGTCCAAAGGGTCCCAAATTAAACTTTGTTTGATTTTAACAAAAATTGAATTCTTTTGGTTCTTTGATATGCTGAATCTAAACATGTATTTAGATTTTTGATATTTGGGCCCCTTTATGAAATTGGTCCATATTGAGTTCTAAAGGGTCTAAAATTAAACTTTATTTGATTTCATCAAAAATTGAATTCTTGGGGTTCTTTGATATGCTGAATCTAACCATGTATTTAGATTTTGGATATTGGACCATAATAGAAAGTAAAATCACCAAAATACTGAACTCCGAGGAAAATTCAAAAAGGAAAGTCTAGGTAGAATAGGTGAATGTTAATAGGTTAATGTCCAATTTAAATTTTTTAAGTTCTTAGACCACATTCATTCTGTGTCAGAAACCTATTCTGTGTCAACTATTTAATCACAATCCAAATTCAGAGCTGTATCAAGCTTGAATGTTGTGTCCACACTTGCCCCAACTGTTCAGGGTTCAACCTCTGCGGTCGTATCAAGCTGCGCCCTGCAGAGCATCTGGTTCTATGTTGCTTGCAAAAAGAACCATTCTTCCTGTTACATTTTATATCTTGCACTAACAGTGTTTAAGTTTTGTAAAGATATGTTGAGGTAATGAAAAAAAATTGAATTGTGTGATTTTTCCATTTTTCATCAGTTTCACATCAGACAAAATTGCATAAAGCATCTTTTAAAAATTAGTATGTGTTTACTGCTATGGTTCTTGGTTGTCTTTGTTCCTGGTAACCAGTAGAAAAAAATGAAAAAGTAGACACTTTTATGTGATTTTCAAAATCTATGTAAAGGAAGAGAATAATACATTAAATAGTCATTTGATATTTTTGGCACATATAGCTATTTATTCAAACAATTTTGTTAGTCTCTATTTTGAACTGTTAGTTGGAATGCCTAGATTTTGAAAGTGGTGTTATGGTGCTCTTGTTTGTTTTATTTCAGTAAAATAAATCAAACAGTTAGTTTGGCAAATTCATTTTAAATTTAAGAAATATATATGAAGTTAGCATTTCAATTGCATGACTGTTTGTTCCACATTGTGAGACATATATTATTTTACAATCCATTCAGCCATAACCATGATACAGATACGAGTTTACAAGGCCATACTTAAAAAAATTTAGGTTTGCTCAAACCCTACCCAACATTGAGACAGTGGGTAGGTAGGTAGGCATTTTCTTTTTTTTTTGGCAAAGAGAAATTTAAGTATCAGATGTTTATTAGTCTTCATGCCTATCTGAATAAAAAAAAAAAATTTCACATCAGGGCAATAAAAGATTTTGAGTAGGCAGCTATTTTCTGGGTAGGTAGGGTTAGGGCAAACAAACCTATTCTTTTTTATGGCCCAATCCATTCAGGCATCACAAACAATTATGTTTTGTAAAGATTGGTTTGATATGAATTTCTTCCTTTGATAGGTAATGATATTTTGTAGGAAATTGAATTGGCACCTGAATGTTTAATGAGGGGCCTGATGGGGGGGTTTCATCACGATTCACGAGTTGATTTTTTTGTCAATCACGATTCACAGAAAATAAATTTCCATGATCACGGATCACGAAAACATAAAAAGAGAAATAAATCTGTAGAAAAACGGATCACGATAGCGAAAATGCGCCGATCACGAAGAACGAAAATAACCCATCAGGCCCCTCTTTAATAACATTAAGTGTTAGGTTCATAGTAGTCTTCAGCCCTTCGAAATTAACTTTGAAATTCTTGTACAGTGCAATATATTTAATCAAAAGTGCGAAACAAAAATCTGGACATGATTCATATTTATGAACCTGTTTATACACTTTTCTTTTTAAAAGACAATGAATATCCAGTTATGTTTCTCAAGCTGTTACAATAACAAAGTTGCTTAAGTTTTCACAAAAAAGGTGCAGGTATTGATATTTTTAGAACAGGGTATTTAGGGATGAAAATTGTTAGTAAATACAATACACCTTATCGCTAATCCCGCTTGACCCGAGAATCAGTCCCGCTCGAACTTTTGAAGTCATACAACAATCACTTTTCCATTGTGGCGTCAGATATTTTCTATTATGACGTCAAAATTTTACAGGAACTTGTGTGATGTCCAGTAATGGCGGACAAATAGCGATAAGGTGTATACTTCAATAAATAAATGTCATTCATGGTATACATATATTTTGTTCTGGAATTGATCTCTTCTTTGCCATCCTATTTGTGTCTACTTGTGTACAAAAAGTGTGTGTGTCAAAAGTGATGAAATATACACTACATAAAGGATTTATTGTTTACATAATCAAAAGTTAAGGTATTGTATCTGTACTTTCTGATGGAAAAATGAAATTCTTATTCTCATAGATCATGCTGCTCAAGAATTGTGATTGATTGATTGTTTGTGTTTAATGCCACTTTCAGCACTTTTGCCAATATTTTGGTGGTCAGATTTTATTGGTAGAGGAAGCTGGAGTGCTAGGAGAGATCAGGAACTGGCAATCCTTGTCAATTAAGAGTCTAAAGCACCTGCCATATGTGTGGTTCTAATTCAAACCTCAATGTTGACAATGTGGGTGGATGTGCACCATTCTTATTTTAACTTCCGTATTTGATGTATTTCCATAATGAAAAAGATGTACTTTAGTAATCTGTATTAAATGAACCATGACTGTGTACTAGGGTATCAATTCTAGTATTTGTGTGTTTTAATCTTTTCATGTACAAATGTGAAAGGTTTACAAATACTTTTGAAATTACAATTAGAACACTTTTAATTTCTTTTGTTTTATTGTGCAGTTTACAGTCACATAACAGTATATTTCAACATCGTTTTTGAAAATGTTAAAAATGTTATTGAATTTTGTTCTTTGATCTGATATATATCAAAGATTTGTAAATTGAAAACCCTAACAAAATAATGATAACAGTTATGTCATTATCCCAAGACTATGTCTTCAGTGTTATTTTTGACAAAAAAAATAATGATTTTCAATTGATTTGATATTTCATTGCAGAAGCTTGTTTTACAAATTTGCAGTTAATGAAGATAATTGATAGTTATCAATACATATACTTAAAGCAAACTGCTATTCTGGATATTTTTCATTTAAAAACTTTTGTTGTTTGGCAATATATAACACAATAGTTTCCTTGTATATTAGAATATGTTTATTTATTTGTAATTCATTGTTTATAAAGTTTAAGGATTGTCCTATTTGTAATGGGAATATATCTGATTGTTTTACAATTTTGTATGCCGATATTAGTTTAGAAATTTTTCTCACCTGTAACAGAGTCACAGAAGCAACACATGATTCTTCTGTTCCATGCGTAGGCTGTGTCGACTTTAAAGTGTGTGATTAAGTCAGTTTAAGGGTAATCTTTAATAGTGAGTCAATGATATTTGGTATACAGTTGTATAAGCATTGAAATATTTCATTTCCATGTTTATGTTTGTGATTAGGTGAGACAAGCAAGACATATCTTTGTGTTATCAGTTTATTGTAGTTAACTATTGCTGTATTGTTAAATCATTTATTTGATTGATTTCATCCATCAAATCATTTATATAGATTTTTATCCAGGTCAGTATCATTTTTGGTTTATTATCATTTTATTTTTAAATTTCCCATTTGATTTCTGTGCCAAAAATCTACAGTTTGTGTTTTTCTTTGACCTCAACCTCATGTAACCTTGTCTTGATAAAATCATAGCAACTCAGTTGTGAATATGATAGATTTCGGACTGTCAATTTCTAAATTAATTTTGAAGTAAAACAAGTTTTTTTTTTCAAAATTGATTGAGAAAAATATTCTTGGTTTATTTGACCAGTTTTCATATTTTAACTGTACTAATTTTGAGTGCTATCCATCCTTTTGAGTCCTCTATTACTGTATTTGACTATTAGAGTTTGTTGTTTATTTTTATCCTCTTGACCATTCCAGATGAAATGAAAAAATTCTTTCCAAGTTATGAATTTGTGTTTATTTACATTGTCATACTGGAATGTATATATATATAAGGGAATTATTTTGATTGCTTATAGATGAAATTTATATTGTCTACTTTGACATCAAAAGTTTTAGTTATCCTATCATGTCTACTATTTTTTTATCTTATTTAGTTTTAAACCTATTTGAAATAGTTGTCACTGTTAAACAATTTGTATGATATTTGTGCCATTTTGGAAATGAGAAAACATGAAAAATCTAAATTTGTTACAGAAAAATGTATAGTCTGAAATGGAAATCGCTTTGAATAAATAAAAATAATTTAAGCCTTTAGTTTTAAGGACAGTGTGTGATAAGTGCTTTTTATGGCTTAACTATTTCACTGAAAATTTAGCTTTCAATTTCAGAAAAAAAAACATAAGATTCAGTATATTTTCAACTAGTATTTTGATCTGCAAATATATAACACATGAAAGTACTAACTAAATAATTTACCACCTTGTACTAATGTAGGTGCATTATAATTTATTTTTGCCATCAATGTATAATGAATGAAATAAAATGTTTTATCCTTGCATGCTTTTCATTTCTTCCTGTGATATTTTTTTATTGTGTTGAACACAAGAGAAGTTTCTGGTTATAATAAGTCTTGTCTCATCCATGTTGTAATATCCTAGGGTGCATAACCTTCACATATTCCTCCAGTTTTCGACAACATTTTTATAAATGGCCTAACTTTATCACTCAGCACCATAAAAATCTTTTATAACAGATGTTATGGTCAGCCAGAGAAGGAGATATATTGTAAAGTTTGTCCCTCAGTAAGAAGTTGTTAACAATACCTCATTTAACGAGACTGTATTACAAAACTTCTGATGTTCCTATATGATATACATGAAAAGCTGAATTAGATGAATTTTGATAAACATTAAATGCAAAATATTTACAGTATTAACTTTACTGTGCCAGGTGCGTATTTCAACAAAAAATGTCTTCAGCGATGCTCCAGGCCAAAATATTTGAAAGACTGAGAACAATTACAAAGGTTGTAGAGCCGATAAAAGAAAAAGAACCAACTGTGAAGCCAAACCTAGACATGGAATAGAGCTATGCAAGAGGGAGATTGATCACTTAATTTAAAATCATTTCAAATTTATAACAGCAAATAACAATAAA